TGCTATTTCATTTTCCTAGAGCATGTTTTAAATCTTATGCTTTTAATAACAATTTCTGAGAAACAAACCACCTGCACCCTTTCAAAGGGAACAATCGTATTTACCACCTGCCATTGTGGCTAAGCATGTTCCCCACGCCTTCCCCCAGCTACCTGCAGAATTAACGCCAGCTGAATTTCACCAGCATTGCAGTTTCTCTTCCTATTCTCAGCAGATGCATTCGAGACACCATGACATATGGTTCAAGCAGACCAGAGGTCTCAAAGGCTTGAGTCAACACTGGGCATTCCCAAATTTGGGGCTGTTGGCCTGCAGTCAGTACCTATTTGTCTCTCTGGCCAGGCTCCTCCAGTATAATATAATCTGTCTCATCAAGGCTGGCTTCTATTCTTGGCTGTGCTGCAAACTTCCTGTGTGACCTTGGGCTAGCCACTGCTTCTCTCTGTCTTCCCACCTCCCAGGGTCTCATGAGGATCCCGTCATTACTGTTTGCCAGGTGCAGTCACGAGCCCCATGGAAATGCCTATAAATAACAGCCCCAAATTACACATTGGGGAAGTTCGGGTTAGAGCCATGCGACTCTCTACAGCCCTGGCAAGCACTGGAAACCAGGCGAGCCCTCACCTACTCCAGATCATAGCTCTTTGAAGAGAATGAAAAAGCTGCCAGCTAGGTCAGAGCTTGGTCTGGGGAGCCAGGCCTCCTCGGGTTTTGAAGCAAGGCTTGCACAAGTTTATGTACTGGGAGGACTCATAGTCCTCATGGCTGTGAGCATATAAATGATTTATCATTCCTATTTCTCTCCATCCTAAGCTCATGTCCTTGCAATATCCTTGAAGCATGTTTCTCTGGGGAGACACTCAGCATCTCTTTGACCTGGAGCTGAGGGGCAATAGGTTTGTTGATTTTGAGTGGAGCCATAACTGTGCTTTGTGCCGAGTCGTGTGCCTCAAGAGATGAGTGCCCAGAGGAGTGACGCAGGCTCTCTGGTGCTGCTGCCCAGGCGGGTCGCAACATTTCTGGAGACCTGCATTTCCCCGGTGCCTGGGTGGGCACTTGGGAGGTCTGTGTTGGCCTCAGGGGATGGTGGAGCCCAGATCAATGGCCAGGGAGCAGATTATCTATTTCACAACAGAAAATGACTGAAAAGGTGGAGGTCTTCTCACAATCACTGCAATGGGGGCTTTTTTGCCTTTATTGTGCCTTGCAGCCTTGTTTGGAGAGCCAGCAGCAAAGTAACTGAGGGAAAATAGAAAGGAAAGACTGGGAAGCAGAGAGGGTTGACTGGAGGAAAAAGCTAGCAAGCAAGCATGAGTAATACAGGCATCAGAAGTGCTTTATAATTAGTTTATAAAAGCTCTCTTAACATCAGCAAAGCACTTTCTACTAGAAATCTTTAATAAAAATACATCAATATTTGTAAGCATTGTACGTTTTCTGGTTAATTCTGTTAAACAGCTCTAAGAAGAACATCTAAGCAATGCATTTCCATCTGTTCTCAACCTCCCATTGTCTGGGTAGTTAAAAGCACTTCAGCTTTGCCTCCCTGACTTAAAACTCCCTGGTGGAAGCCTCTGTTTGAGGTGGTTTCAAACCAACTGGCTGGCCTTCCATCTCAAGCAACAGCTGAAAATACCCTGCTGCTGGAGGAGCAGCCAACTGTGGTCACCTTCCCTGCAAGAAGACTTGGTTAGTCTATTGACTATGGATTAACAGTCATGGATGCTGCACCCTACCCTCACGTATTTATGGTTGGTTCATTGGAGCAGTGCCTAGATGGAGAGAAGTGGCCATGAAATACACTTGCAGATGGTGGCTTGCCCAATGGAGGTGATGCCAGAGAGGTCAGCCCACAAGGATGTTGGTGCACATTGACTGAAACAATGGATTTGGTTATATGAGTGAAATGCAAATTGCTGGGCACTGGTAAAGACAGTTTGGATTCCATAGCTGCATAAATGTGTCCCACCCAGCTGTGCCCTAGTCTGTAATTATCTGGAAATTAAATGGTTAGAGTAGAAAGCATCCCCAGGGTTGGGTTTTCTTCCTTCTAATTTTTCTTCGTGTTTTTCACACGGGAAGAACAAAGTCTGGAAACCATGCTTAAGCTTAGCAGAAGTAAAGGTCTGGCCAAACTGGATTTTAACATGGCCAGTGACCCAACATGAGGAGAATGGCGTTTATCAGCTTGTTTGATTGTGGGCCAAGGCGTGGACATGACTGAAGCACATTGCCAAAAGAGCCTGTGGTGGGGATTAGCAAGTGTTCTTGTTGAAGTTTGAAAGTTTCATGGTTTGGACCGGACATCTTTGGTGTTTGATTTTGAAAGCTTAAAGCTTAATTGCTATGTTGGAGGGGAAGTAGGTGCTCATGCTCATCTGGGCAGGAGTTATCTCCTGAGTATAATACTCAGTTGATTCACACTCTGTTTATATGACTTGAAGGAAGAGAGTTTTGCCATGAGGAGCAGGGGGCTTGGGCCAAGATTTTTAACTAGGGAAGAAAACTCTTATGCATTTATACATTTGGCAAAAATTATTCCCTGACTCTGTCCTACAGGCTTTTTTAGTTGTTTGTAACATTTGATTTACTAAGGATTAGCTCAAGTGGGAGAAAGCTCAGTTAGATGCTTGGATGAAGCCAAACAGGGTTTAATTCAAAGAGGCAAATATTTCCTGATGATTTATTTACTAGATTCATTATTTTAATTTTCCATTTGCAGATTGCCCATGAGCAGATTGCAATATTCCCAAATTGTATGTATTATTGGAAGTTACTCACCCATTCAATATGCAAATATTTCTTGGTCCAGAATTTGCTTCTGAAATTGCCAGGGCTCCTACAGCACTGAGTGGTTCGAGAAGCCATGTGGACAGCACTGGGATGTTTGGTGCGTTGTCTACAGCAGGAGCTGTGATCATTACAGTCAAGTAGTTGAAGCCATGTACTGTGTTGGCGAGTTACAGCCCCATGAGGACACAAACAGATGTGATACCCTGGGATGCAGCTAACCTCTGCCTGTGCCATACAAATGGCAGCTTTTGCAATCCGATCCATTAACTGTGTTTTGCCAACATTCATGTGTTTGCCAAATTAATTTTTTGCCACTTATTCACGATTCCACTAGTAGCCGGTAGTCCTGCAGCACAGATGTGTACTTCAGATGTGGAAGGACTGCAAGCACACTGAGAGCAAGTAATTATTTAGAGAACAAAATGTCCCTGCTGTTTGCTCAGTGCTACTTTAAACAAACAGACAAACAAGGAGGAAAAAATTCTACTTAAAAGAAGCACTAACACTGCCCTCTATGTTCCTCGTCCCTGGGGAGATGGTAGGATCAAGCCACACATGATGGACATTAGTGGGGTCATGCAGGGTGCTGCTGGATGGAGTCAGGGTAATAAGGGGTCACGAGGTGATAGGGAGCTGAGAGGACAGCCCAGGGAACAGATCTTCATTACATCGCTGTGTGTCCACCCACCAGCTAAGCCAAATGCTCTTCCTGTACGAGTGCTTCTTCTAAAGACAGCTTGGATTTCACCTTGGCCAAGCCAGTTGAGTCTGTAATGAAGTTAAAGGCTGGATGATTGCAGCTAGCTGAGTGCTTGGTCCAGCACAGACAGGATTTTATCTGCAGGCATTTTGCTTCTGGCTCACAGCCTGATTTAGTCCCAGAAGGGAGTGAAACCGAAGCCATCCGGGCCATCTTTCCTTGTGGAGGAGCACACCGAGTCCCTGTAAGTTTGCTTTGAGATTGTTGCCTGCCGATGTGTGCTCTGCAGAAAGGAGTGAGTCACATGAGGATCATTCTGTATCCAGCAAGCTACTTCTCCTTTCAGCTCTCCATTCCCAAACAGGAGATCTTGTGACAAAGAAGAAAGAATCGTGGCAACCTAGAAATGCTTTTTCCCTCCCCGGTCCCGTGAGAAAAGCTGTAGCATGTTGTTCAAACAGGTTGATACAAAGCGAATAAACAGTCAGAAGAGAGATGGGCAGTTTCTGTAAATAGCAGCATGCTGTCCAGAGAGGAGGAGAAGAGGGGAGGGAGAGCGCGGGTGTTAGAAAGCAACTGAAGAACAAGATGTTCACGTAAAAGCTGCTTGTTTCTTCACAGCATGCAGAGCCTGATAATACCTTGCCATTAGTCATGGCCTAGAAAAAATGAAGGAATTTGTGGGAGTTTCACCTTCCAGACAGACTTTGCAACAAGCTTTTGTCTCTGCACCAGAAGGCAATTCTTCCAACCCTAAATGTTACTCCCTCAGACCCCTCAGGTGCTCAGGAGCCTTGCCAGTGGGCAGGTGGGGCATCTCCAGGCAGGGTTTAGCAAAGGCAGGTTGTGGTTGCAGGGCATACAAGGATCAGGCAATAATGAATGTGGTTACCCAGCTCTTAATGCAGTGCTTCTCATCCACAGAAATTCTTTGTTAGCACTTAATAGAAGAGGATGAGTATTACTGTCCAAATGCTAAGTAAGTGTACTGGCCACGCTTGTTAAAGGACCAGTGTGGTGTCAGTGCACAAAATAGCTGGTCATTCACATGGATTGAGCCTTGGCTATTTGTTTAATGCTCAGTGCATGCTTGGCCAACTCTCACCCAGATAGTGGAATAAACTGAGCTGCGCTAAGTTAAGGCGAGAGGTAAGGGAATGAGAGGAGCCCCAGGAGAGTTGTATATGAGTTTCTCTCATGCCAAAGGAGTCTTGTGGAAATGGAGGTAAATTGTGTTCTAAATTTTGCATGTTGGCGCTGAAGTTGAAGTGGATGTAGGTGCAATAAATTAATGATTTGAAGAGCAACAGAAGGGACTTAAACGTAGCCAGACAAAAGAGAAAAAAAGTATTGGGGGTGTGTGGTGTGGTGTGAGTGGCAGAGTCCCAGGTACCTGTCTGGAAGATGTTCTGTGAGATAGCAGATAGAAGTATTTTTTGTTTGTTCCTGGCATCCTGAGCCGTTTCCCTGACAGATGGTTTTGCTGCCATTTCACCTGCCTCCACAGGTACGACTACATCGAGATCCGAGACGGGGACAGTGAAGCAGCAGACCTGCTGGGCAAGCACTGTGGGAACATAGCACCTCCTACAATCATCTCTTCTGGCCCCTCTCTCTATATCAAGTTCACCTCGGACTATGCACGGCAAGGTGCCGGCTTCTCCCTGCGCTATGAGATCTATAAGACAGGTGAGTGTCTGAGTCAGTGCCTGTCTCCCATTATGTTTGCCACGATGATCTTCACAAGGAGATGTCTTTGGCCACCTTTTCAATTGAGCATGTTGCCCCAAGATAAAGGGCTTTATTTTTTTTTTTTTAATGTAACCGAGTCTGTTGCATCACATTTCCAAGAAGGTAAAGATATTAGTGGTGCATGATGGTGCATTTTTGGATCACAGTATGGCATCAAAAGCAGGGTTCTTTGTTAAATGCTGTCTTGCATTCGAGAACTAGAAATGTATATCTTTTCACCCTGGCATGTGTGGAGCTTGTTAGGGCTAAGTGGGGATTGTCCCTTGGTTAGGAGCGTATGGAGCTCCCCCTCCTGTGGAGTTGCGATTCAGGGCTGATCAATGACACTGTGTTTTCTTTCCCTGGAAGTGGAGTTTGGAACTGGAGAGCTCTTGTTTTCAAGGAACTGCTGTCAGCAATGCTGTCAAGGGCTGAGATGGTGCCTTTCCAGGCAGATATGAGAGGAACTATTCATAATTCTGTTTAATACCGAACTATTATTGAGGGAAGGAAAAGCTGCTCAAAGGCCTTTTAATAGTATTTCTGTCTAAATATTTGCCAGAATTGTGTGTCTGGGAAGAAGGAAGCTTGAGAAAATAAACCCCACTCTGTGTGCTGTGTGTGTGCGCGGGTGAGAGAGGTGTGTCTGCATGCTGAGGGAGCAAGAACGTGTTTGCATGGGGATGAAGGCGCCTGCCCTGTGCCCACATTTCTTTGGTGGCGCGTTGGAAGAAAATACATATGCGGCTTTCACGTCATCGCATCCAGCATGAAAAAAATGCCCACACTCTGTGAAGAACCATAAAGGAGCACAACAGGGTCGCTTACCCAGCCTCTTCAAAGGGAAGGCAGGGAGCACAGGCACCAGTGCCTGGGGACCCTGGCCCAGCTGTGTCAGGCAGCCTTCAACCCAGTCACAGGTAGATATGAATGTGGAGACTCTGCTGCAAGAGGATGGGAATGGGACTCCCCAGATTCGTTGTGAAATGGTGAGGAGGTTCAGGTGGAGGAGGAAGGTGCTGTTGCTGGTAGTTGCCTGGGCTGTATAACTGGCCACTGAGCTGTTGTGGTGCAGCCAGCTCACCACTGCTGTTTGTTAATGGGCAGGATGCAGATTAGTCCTGAAAGAGTTTAGTGGTTCATCCGGCTACTGGGGTTTGCTGAGACCAGTTGCCAGCACGGAGGATGGCAAAGAATGCCTGTGTTAGGTGGAGAGGCTGCTCCGTTGCCCCTCGCTCCGTGTACACACCCCCTCTGAGCCCAGCAAACTGCGCTGGGTTGTGCTTGTCCTCACATCAGGTCTGTGCCCTGAGTTGGGGCAGGGGGCAATGTGGAGTGGTCCAGCTGGCTGAGAGGCCGCCAGGTCAGGCTGTGTGTGGCTGTGGGGAGCGATGGCAGGCAGGAACCCTGTCTGCCTGGGTGGGAGCCAGCAAGGGGCCAAATTCATGGGAAAAGGAGATTTTGTTACCGCTGGTAGGGAGGGAGAGGAAGCAAAGCCTGCTCTGGGAGAGAGTGGATGTTGGGGCTGAGTTTGTGTCCCTCGATGTGGTTCCCTGCAGAGCTGCCCTCGGGTCTGAAGTGGTGTTAGGGCTCCTTTCACCACCACCACCCCCCACAGGCAGCCATCCTCTCCAGAAATAGACACACTGTCTTCCAGCCACAGCCCATGAAATCCAACCTGACAAGGCAGGTTTTGGCACAGGAGCAGGGATGAGCCTGTGACCCAGGAGGACCCCCAGCCCACCTCCCCTGCCCAGCCCCTGTGCCCCCTGGGGCTCCCAGGGAGGGCAGTGGGCAGCGCTGGCTGCAGGGCCACCACCGCACAAGCAAACCCTGCCTTTTGTTTGCAGGCAGGCAGGCAAAGTTTCCATCTGAACTGGCAGGGTAGCCAGCAAGGGTGTCACCAGCTTTAAAGGTCATCAGATTGTCATTGTCCACATCAATAAAGGCAGCGTGGCTGCAGCTTCTTTCTTTCTTTCTTAAAGGTGACTTAAAAAACCAACTCCTTTCAACTGAGCATTTCTTTCTACACCTTTTGCTAAATTTCCCTTATCACCATGTGAGAGAGGTACAATCTGCATACAAACAACTGCGTACCAGTCTTTGAATCCCCTGATGGGTATCAGTCAGGGGCCTGCAGGCTGACAAAAGGGCTGCCTGGCCTGGCTGGTGCAGCCTCCCTGCTGCTCACTTGTGAGTCAGTTTGGCAGGGCTGGCCCCAGCTCTTCATCACTGGGCATCAAAGTCTCCTCTCCGGCTGGTCCATGCTGCCAAGCCAGCATGACTCCAGTTGATTATCTGCAGCTTCCTTATAAAAAAACTGATCATTGTGTTTGCTGCTATCAGCCAAACTGTAGACAAAGATGCCAAATCCGATAAGAGCCCCACATGAGGAAACTGTTGTTGTCTAATGTGGTGACACAGTTATGTCTCTCTCTTGTCTCTAGAGGATAGTCCCTGACTCTGGGTTTAGGCTTTGATTTTCTCCCTAGCTCAGAGCTTGTGTTATTTCCCTATTTATCTATTTGTCTTTCGAGCTGTTTTGAACGAAGTACACCCTTATCCCCATTCACAGCATTATGCTGTGATTTGTGTTTCGCCTTATTTTTTGCCTCTGCATTTTACCCCACAGGTTCACACCAGAAAAGCTGGCTGCTTCATTAGGTAGTCAATTAAGAGCCTCTTCTGAGTAGCTCTCCAGCTAGGTGCTGCATAATGCAGTGCTGGGATCCTGCTATTACTGCAGGCTGCTGGCCTGACTCCTGTAGGTTAATGCTGAATTGAATAACAAGTCTCCCATTAGTCCTGGGAAGGCTCCTGTTGCCTGGAAGAGCCGGAGCAGAAGGGTTTGTAGAGGAGAAGGAGGCTGTCCCAGTAAAACCAAAGCAGAAACCTTTGCGAATGCTAATGCCGGGTTGCAGCAGTGGCCAGCAGCCTCTCTGACATCCCCTTTCGCCTCTGATAGCTTCAGGCTGCACATTTCTGTTGCCTATTGTCCTGTCTCCACAGTGCAGTGGCTTCAAAGTCACCGTGGTATGAATATGACACAAATTCCCCTTTCCCCGGCCACCCCCGAGGCACCTTGGCTGTATGAGAAGGGGCAGGGAGCTGCCGTGGCTGCAGCCAAGGCCAGTGCTGAGGTCAGCAATAAATAAGAGGCAACATTGTCTGCCCTCCTTGCCACGCAAATCTCTTCCTTAAGAATAGAAATAACTTGCATTTCTGGTGCGGACAGCTCGGTCTGTGAGAAAGAGGGCTCTGTTCCTCCTCTCAGCAGAGATCCTCTGCCACAGCCCCTCTTATTCCAGCTCTTGCCGTGACCACAGAACGGGGACATATGCTGGAGCTGACCCTGATCCCTTGTGTGGGTCTCAGGGGGGTGCAGGGTAACCACACACTTCCCAAAGGTTCCCAGCTGACTGGAGACATTGGCACCCACCCATCGGACCTTTCACCGTGTAAATATTTCTGCTTCCATATTTTCTCAAGAGGAAACTGAGGCATAGGTGTCCATGCTGGAGGGGGAGAGGTTGCAGGAGACCAGAACCTGGGGACAGCTTTTTCAAAAAGATGACATCCTCATTACTCCTCACTGCCCCTTCCCAGGCAGCCACCTCCCTGAACAGGGGCTCCTCCATCACACCTGGGGCTGCTGTGGCCCTTTGCCAGCGTGGCCGGCAGGTGGTAGCTGCAGCATCAAGGACGACCACGTCCACCAGCCCCCTGTGCCCTGGCCAGCCCCTCTGTGGGCTTTGGGGTGGCAGACACAGGTCTCCCGGCAGGTCGATGTTTTGGGAGCCCGGCAAACAGTGGGTAGGGCTGGCAGAGGAACACCAGCCCAGCATGGCCTCCTGTCCCCACCAGGGCTACCACAACTGGTGTGGGCGACATGACAGGGTGCTGGCCTGCCAAATTGCAGCTGTGGCTTTGGATGGGATCACTCTTGTAGTCCTGCTTTTGGAGTAAGTGGCAGAGGGATCAGCAGTGGGATACAGGTTACATTTGCAGAGCTGTCTGAGGGATTTAGACACATGCTGTCCACTCCAGTGAATGCATGGACCTTGTCTCTCCACTTGTGGAAAGCTTTGAAAATCACCCTCTCAGTCCTTGCAGGAATTCACAGAGCTCTTGGGTTACAGGACATTTCCAGAAGTGAATATCCAACCCCTCTAAGCTCAAAATGTGGTTTTTACAGTGTGTCAAACTGTTAGCTGCATTGTTGCTAAGGCTGCGGGTTTTTTCCTGCTGCTACAGGCTCTGAGGACTGCTCCAGAAACTTCACTGCCTCCAACGGCACTATTGAGTCTCCAGGTTTCCCTGACAAGTATCCACACAACCTGGACTGTGTCTTCACCATCATAGCTAAGCCAAAGACAGAAATTCTCCTCCACTTTCTGCTCTTCGACCTCGAGCACGACCCGCTACAGGCAGGGGAAGGAGACTGCAAGTATGACTGGCTGGACATCTGGGATGGCATCCCTCAGGGTAAGCTATGGGGTGCTGCACTGCTGTCCTCAATTTCTCTTGGTGTCTCACAAAGCTCCAAAACTGTGCAGTCTATGTCTGAATACCAAAGGTGCCTAACCTCAGGCATGGCGGCAGCATGCAGCCTGCCATCACAGCCCTCTGCGGCCAGCCGTGGGAATGGTGTGCTTGCAGAAGGCTGCATGCCGTTAATCCCCAAACTACTGCTCTGTTATAACCACTGATCTGAAAAGCCTCGTGGGACACTCCAAGATAGCACCAGTCCTCCCTCAGGGAAGGGCAGTGGGTTCATGCAGTGTTGGGAGGACCTCCCTACCCCATTACCAACACTGAGAAACAGAGCAAACGAACATTTTCCAGCAGTTGCAGAGCAGTGCCTGCTGTAGTGGATATTTCTGCGCAGCGCACTGCATGGCACAGGCCAGCGGATGTGAAAAATAGCCCATCCCCAAAGCCTTCCTTTATTCCGACCTGTCCCACTAAGGCATCCCTGCTGAGCGATGCCAGCCTACTAGTGACCCAGGAGGCCAGTGTCAAAGCAGGTATTACATTTGCTGCTCTTTCTTTTGCAGTTGGCCCCTTGATAGGCAGGTATTGTGGCACAAAGGTGCCATCGGATATCCGCTCAACCACCGGTGTCCTCTCACTCACCTTCCACACGGATCTGGCAGTGGCTAAAGACGGTTTCTCTGCTCAGTACTACTTGATCCAGCAGGAAGTCCCAGAAAGTAAGTCACAAATGCATGTGTATGACTTTAGGCAGTCTTGTCACCTTTTTTCCCAAGTCTTTCACTTGGCACATGTCAGAGTGAGGCAGGCAGGAGTGTGTGCAGGGGCTGGTCCCCCACCAGCAGTGCACACAGCAGTTATACTAGGTGTTCTCTGTTTCCCATAGAAGTGAGATTTCAGTAAGAATCACACTTTCTGACCTTTCTTTGACTTTTCACTTGCTTGTGAGGTCTTCTCAATACCTTTTGGGATAGCATCCTTCATGTATGTGCTCAGCCCAAAGGATTTAGGGGAAGACTTCAGCCCAGCGGGTGCAGCAGATTCACTAAAGCACAGGGGAAGATACTCTCCCTATCTCTGGTTTTCCAAAAATTCACAGCCCCAAACTACAAATTGGAATTTCTTGGCTGTCTAATTAGAAAATGCCTAAAGCTCTAAGAATTTAAAACTGAAATTTGTTTTAGATCCCTTGTTAAGAGAGGTAAATTGATGTGGAGTGAGGAAGTAAGTTGTGTGTTTTGAGAATGAAGAGATTTTGATTTTTTGTGGTAATGCTTGCGGGCGAGGAAAGATTCAGTTTGTTTACCCATGGTATTTTTACATCAGAGCTACAGTTCTTGACATCTGTTAGCAGTGAACTTGTGATATAACAGAAGAAGCCTTCAGGACACCCCTCAGTCCCAGAGAAAGAGAGGGGGTCCCTGACCCGGCACGGAAAGCTCATGCTGGAGAGCAAGGTAGAATAGGGGCTGTGCAGCACTAGGGCAGCTGGGTTACAGGCTCTTGCTCTGTGATTGAGTTTGGGATGTTCTGCTGAGGCTGTGAGAGTTACAGACAAGCATGAGCTCTTCACCATTACCTATATCCATACTCAGTTGATCTAGTCTTTAATCCCCTTTCTATGCTGTTCTTTAAAAGGATTGGGAAGTAAAATGTTAATGATACACAAAGCTTGAGAAATCAAGCACAAGAGCTGTTAAAGGGCCAGGCCTGTTTTGATTTATGCTGATGTAAAATCGAAACTTTAATAATACCACTGAGATCTTAACTTGGCCCACCATTTCCACCTGGGGTTGAGTTGGCCACATTACAAACACAGGCAGTTTGGTGGAGCCCCATTAGTTTACAGCAGCGGCGCACTTGGGCCCATGCAGCATTTCCTATCACTGTTTTCATTGCTATTGTTTTTATGGGACACCTGCCATAAATATATATGAGATGTGCAATAAGATTGAGCTAATTATGACTTCTAAAGCCTTAGAAGTGACGAAACCCAAATGAAAGCCTATTGGAGTCTTTCATATTCTTGGCTGGTTAATTCCTGTGGGCCTGATATCACATATAGCACATGCACATATACACACACACATACACACATGCATCCATACCCTCACACGCACACAAAACTTTTAGACCTTCCCGTTCCAGGCCTTGATGTTCTTGCCAGAAGCACAGCTGTAAGCACCCTCCTGTTGTGCCTGCCCATACTCCTTGCCTTATCAGTGCTTAGATTTCACCTCCAGCCTTCAAGAATATGGGGAATTTTGTGGCAAGGGGACTTGGGACATCTTGGTGAAGAGGGAGGGAGGGAGGGGACAAAATTGTGTCCAAACTGTGCAAAGGTGAAGGAGATAGAGAAAGGGAGAAAGATCTGGTCTGTATTAGTTTTCAAAGGGCCATGCAAACATAAAGCTGACCCATCTTTATTTTTTCAGTGCCATCTGTGAGCACACACGACCTGCAAGATGGTGCAGATCTGTTCATCTTTCCAGGCAGGCAGCTTTGCTCAGGGTTAGCAGGGGAGGATAGTTCAAGTCTGTGTTCCACTTGGGAGTGAAGTGCAGAGACTGTAAGCTGATCTGCATGTGTGCATGTGTGTGTCCGCCCCAGACTTCCAGTGCAACGTGCCGCTGGGGATGGAGTCTGGCAAGATCTCCAACATGCAGATCAGTGCTTCATCCACCTACTCAGATGGGCGATGGACCCCTCAACAGAGCCGGCTCAACAGTGATGACAATGGCTGGACGCCCAATGTAGACAGCAACAAAGAGTACCTCCAGGTACGCATGCTTTCCAGCCCCCTTGCCTCTTCCCCGACCAAAGGGAGTGTCACACTGTTAAACTGACCCTTGACCATAAGGCTTGTTGAATTTTTTATTGCCTCTGTGTCTTTTGGGGAGTGAGCAGCAAGGGAGCTTCAGTGTCTCCATGAAATGTGACAAGCTGACTCTCCCATGAGCGAGCCTGCATGAGGGCTGACTTGACCTGCTGTCCCTCTCCCACCCTCTCATTCCTGCCCAAACCTTGACTGGCTTGCCAGCATACTGACAGAGATTGAGAGGCCTCTGCCACTGGCCTGAGGACCAAAGTCTCCAAGAGGCACGTGGAAAAATAACTAGAATAATGTTTATCTCATCAGTGATGCCAGGAGCATGAGTGGCCTAACGTCAGGCAAGAGGCTGACAGAGCAAAGGCTTTCCCTGGGAGCTGGTGAGATCCACAGTTTCTGTCCACGCAGGGCTTCTGGCTGTGTCACGTCACTGTGAGACGACACTGCTTGCTAAAGAGCACTAGGAACAGGAGGTGGTGAATGTCATTGCCTCTAGCAGACACCTCATTCTTCATCCATGGCAGTGCTACCAAGCCATCTCTGCTGACCTTTCTCAACCCACATTGTGAAAAGAAAAAAGAAAAAAAAAGAGCAAGGGAAAACCAGGAACTGCAGCACTTGCTAACTGGACATCATGCTTTTATTTACGTGGAAAAAGTCAGCCTCTGTCCTGCTTTGATGGACATGAGCTCTGTAGATCCTGTTGCCTGGTCTGCAGCAGAAAGAAGGCTTTGTGATGGTCCCGTATGGACAGGCATGAAGATCCTTTGTTACTCTTCTCCTGTGGTTGTAGTTCTACAAGCATTCTGCTGAAGTCAGCCCAGGGGATTTGTGCCTGTTAAAATGTGCACCCACAGATGGAGTGAGACAGACTGAATTCACACCTTTTCATGTTTCAGAGACAGAGGGAGGAAGTAACTAGCCAACCTGGGCTCTCAGGTGGTCACTGTCTCTCTCTTGTTCCTTTTTCCCCTGGAAAGGTGGACCTCCACTTCCTGACTGTGCTCACAGCTATTGCCACACAGGGTGCCATCTCCAGAGAAACCCAGAATGGCTACTATGTCCGTACCTACAAGCTGGAGGTCAGCACCAATGGGGAGGACTGGATGATGTACCGACATGGGAAAAACCACAAGGTAAAGGTCTTTTTGTCTCTTTTGCATGCACCTTGGTGAGTCTTGCTGCCGACGGGAGGGAATAGAACCATGATATTTTACAGACCTTGAGGGTTTAATCTGTGAGGGACCTTCTTCTGATGAGGGCTGAAAGACTGATGATGCTCTGAGCAGAAATAGTCCTTTCTCCTCTGCACAGCAATGAGGAAACACTATTCCTTGGAAAACCTGGCTGCTGTTGCATCTTTCGTGGTGGCGGGAGTATGTTATTTGACTGCAAATGAAGGAGAAAATGCTTTCACAGCCTGTGTTTTGCCATACAAAATTCATTGAGCTCTTATGGCCGTAGCCTTGCCTGCATGCTGGGTTAACAATCACAAAACCACATGAAACTGTAGTTCAGGAGTTAGTGAGGCCTGGCAATGAAAGGACACAAATCCTAAGAGGGGATCGCATCATCCCAGAGAACAAAATGAACAATAAATAATGAGGAGCAATTCAGGCTGCCAGAGCTGTGGGATCTGCGCTAGCAGGCACGGTCAGCAAGGATGCATTGAACCCTGGGAGCTGCTGCAGGCTCTCGACATGTTTCTGGGAGGCAAGCAGAGATGGGAGTGAGGGGGAGGGAGAGTAAATATGGGTGTTTAGCCCTTCCAAGCCCTGCGGGTGCTGCTGCGTGGCCAGGCGAAGCAAGCTCAAGGTGGTCCACATGGGAGCTTTGGCATATGGGGAGGGGGTTAAGGCAGCCGTGGTGGTGGGCTGGTCCTGCTCTGTTGCTTGCCTTGGTCTTGTGGTTGTCCCCTGGTTAAGGGCCCCTCGGGAAACTCCTTCCCTGCTCTTCTGTGGTGCCCACTAGCGCTGCTGCCATGGTGCAGGTCCTCCCCATTGATAGGCCATAATCTGTCTGCATGAACTCAGTGGCTGGGATCCCACACACCTCCCCCCACATGCACATCCCAGCAATTTCTGCTTGCTCAACACTTCTGTTAAATTAGCTGTCGCCTCTCTTTGCTGGCACAGGTGCTGCTGGCATGAAATGGAGTAGCCTGCCGTGTCCGTTTCCTTCCCTTCCGGGCCATGTGATTTCCCCTTCCTCACAAGTGTATCTCACGGTTCAAATTCACTCAGCTTCCCAGTCCTCTCTGTGCAGAGTCCCCTAGCAGGGTCTCATACCTGCCATATTTGGAGTATTTAAGGTCCTTGCATGCCAGTGAGGTGGTGTTAGTCCTGTTTTAGAGGTAGGGAAATGGAGGCACAGGGCAGCCTAGCACCCCATAGGAGAGTCAGCCACCGAGCTCCTCCAGACCTTGGGAGGGCTGGCTCTGGGACTGCAGCTTGTGGCAGAGCTCACTTACAACCCTAATGCAGCAGCTGTGCACTGATGTGGAGGCTCTGTGCTCTCCCAGGACCCACTGGCCGTGGCAGACCTTTCTGTGAACTGGGGCTGTCTGTCCTCACCCCAGGCAGCCTGTGGAAATGGGTGAGTTTGAGGTCTCACTGGGACTGTTTCTGAAAACCAAGGAAGATGGGAGATTGGCAACATGCCGGGCAGAATGGTGGGCTACATACACAGTTCAGTGTTTCAAATAACCACCGGCAATAAATTCACCTTTTGGAGTTTAACTGGAGTGGGAGTCTGGGCTGGAGGGTGGTTTCAGTTGCAGGGTAGAGTGGATGTCCTGTCCTTGTAGTTCTGGGTGTTGGACACTGGGTCCTCAGCCAGGGTGGAGCAGGACAGCACAGCTGGTTTCAGTGATCCTGGGCCAATTTACATTGCTCCAGCAAAACCCTAAAGCCTGGCTGGTATCAACCCAAAGCAGTCCCATAGACATATGAATTGCCACCATTTTCGGATTTGGCCCTTGAGTCCTGTCAGCCTTTTTCTGCTCTGTTTTTTCTCTTCATAAAAAAGATAAAAGATCAAACCTCTCTTTTACTCCTTTATTCCAGCCTCACTTCGTCCCTGTGTTCTGGCTTCAATTTAGCAGACACCTCCCAAGGCTGGAGGATAAGTAATTATAAGTAATTGCTTTTTGGTGGCTCGCATACCCCTTGCAACCGGATGCCTGCCGTCCCTCCCTGCCAAACAACGGACTGCTGGCCGCTGAGCCGCAGCGGGGCCAGGGCAAAGCCCCTTGTGCACGGGCCTGGTGCCAGGGGTCTCTGGCCCCGCATTCCCTGCCCGCATGAGTCCCCGCTGTTCCTGCGTTAGGCAAGCTCCCAGTTGTCTGTATTTGAGGTGCAGAATCTTCCCTGCATCAGTGCCGTGCTCCACATGGTTCAGGCTGCAACGGTGGAGCGAACCATGCCAAATAGATTTGTCAAGTCTGACGCAGCTTGATTTGGTGCCATGAGGAGCGGGGAGGGAGGGGAAAGGGTGGACAGACAGGGACTCTCTATTCCTCTATATACGTGCAGATATATACATGTATATATATACAGATATATATATACACATATATATAGATATGCACATGCACACACAGGCATATGGGGTGTATCAAACACTGCTCTGAAATTCTGGCAGCTGTGTGGGCCAAAAGCAGAGCTCTGCTGTGTTATAGGCAGGTCAGCTAACATTTGCATCTTCATCAGGGAACTAAAGCAAGAGAAAACCAGTGAGTGCAGGAGGGGTGGGGAAGGGATGGTGCTCTCTGCAGAGGATAGGGAGCTCTGACCTCCTCTCTTTCACACCCCCACTTCCCCTGGTTTTGGAGGAGAGTGGGGCCAGGGTGTTTCCCTGCAAAACGTGATGGCTCACCTTTGAGTCCCCAGCTGCTGGCACTCACGGTGAGGGAAACGGGAAAGGCAGGATGAAGCAGAGGAAAACAAGATTAATATGTGCTCGCAGCAGACAGGGCTGGCTGGGCTGTTTCCGTGCCAAGTGCTGCTGCATTTCTGGGGTGGGAGGCAGTGAAGGCAGTGGCAGTGCAGGAGAGGAGCCCCACTCTCACACCTTCCCCTTCCCACCCCATCCCTGTTGGGCTTTCCCCTGCCTGGCAGCCTGCTCTCCACAAAGCTAAGCCCAGCCTAGCACGCCCTGGATGTCTCCCTGTCCAGGGGGTGGTGCTCTGTCCTTGCCTGCGACATAGGACCTGGGGGGGAGAGACTAACCCAGCAACCTGGCCAAAGGTGCAGAGCTCTCTTCCTGTGTGCCCCCCAAGAGAGGAGATGGGGAAGAAAGCAGCCACCACCATGTGTTGCCCCACTCTTGCCCCTTGCTACCCACCAGCACATCCTCATGGGACAGGGACAAACAACCCCTGCCCCAGAAAGGCTTCTCTGACTCTTGCCCTCCCTGTTGCATCCCCCTCTGTGTCATCCAGGGTCGATGGCCCCAGAGGTTATCTTCCAGGCATTGACCCTGGTGTGTGTGCTGAGATCTTATCTAGTGGTTTGCAAATGTCTTTAGAAAACAACAACTTGTTCTTGAACCCAAGGAAGGAAAAGAGCACCTGGCAGGATTTGACCTTTTAGTTTTGGCCATTTTCTTCAGACAGATTCAACTAGGAGGATTTTATCGGAAAACAAAGTGCTCATTCTGATACTTCCTTCTTTGTAGGGCCTCAGGTTCCAGCCCCCATGTAGTGTGATCCACTCTGTCTTAGTAACTGTGGAGATCAGCTCACAGAGATCATCTAGTGTGGCAAAGGACTAAGGGACAGGATGGGTTTCAGGATTCAGGGTGGGTTGGGACTATGGTGGCTGCTCTCACTACCTCCAGCAACGTGTAAAATGGGAGGATGCAACTGAAACATTTGCTTTGAGAACCTGTAGAACTTGATGGATGAGCAATGGCAGCAAGATCCATCTGATGAGCATTTTCCATTTCCTATTAATTTTGATGGCTTTGTGCTTGTTGTCAGCTAACCTTCCTGGGTGGTAGTTCAGGTGGATGCAAGAAGGCAGGCTGAATTGCTGCAAAGAGATGAATATCTCAGCTGTGCATGGAGCTGGGGACATCAGAGGTGTTTGGTGCTGGCAGGGAATATTGAGGATAACTCTTTGGAGACCCTTGCACTTTTCCTGAGGAAGAAAAAGTGTTTTCAGTTCTTAATGAGGTTTCCTGTGTTCATTCACCTGGGGAGCGAGAGAGAAGCTTTCAGTCTTGTGGCTTCTTTATCTGGAAAACTCAGGCAAAGCTTACATGATCAGCCAGAAGGCCACAAGTGCTTCTGCACAGAGACATCATGGTGCAGAGGGTTAGCCCAGCAGCATCCCCAGATCCCAGCCTGGTTCTGGTGCTTTTGCAGGCAGGACAAAGATGTCAGGCTTTGGGAAAGGCAGCCCCGCATATTCACCCTTGGTACAGTACCAGGGGAGAATTACAGCTCTGGCTTCCCTAGCAAGGCTGTAGCTTTGTACTTCCAGGCCTGATATCTCCTTTGCAGGCTAACAGAGTGCCACTCCTTGTATCCCTGGTGACTCCCAGATCTGAGTGGAGCCTTTCAAAGACACAGCACTGGCAAGCCCAGCCCAGCATGCTGTGCCTTGCCCAGGCGGCTGTACTTTGTTGAGTGTTGCCAAGTATCATTTTTCTTTTACGTCCTTGTCTTGGATATAATAAATCCAGAACTATCCACCCTCCACTTGAGCCAGAATCCTCCCCATTTTATGCCTTCCCTATCTGACTATGAAAATAATCTCCCCTACTTTTCTCCTTCATACTTCTCTGTCTAAATCCTGAAGCCCTAATCCTGTTAGCATGCTCTGTTCCAGGGCTCTGTCTCCACGGGAGTAACATAATCCTGCAGTAAATCTAGTGGGTCCAGAGAGACACATACATACGGATGAAGGCAGGGCTGCTGCTATCCTTGGCCTTCTCCTCTGCCTCTCCCAGCCGCTTTCTTTAGCTCCCCAAGAAACTGCATAGTGTCCAAGCAGCACAATAAATAAATCAGGAGAGAGGTTACCTCCTACTCCCTCCCTGACTCGCTACCTCTTCGACTTCATGGTGCTTTTTGTCTCCCTGCCCTTCACTCTCTTCACTCCAAACTGCCGTTGGCAAAATTCCCATACCCACTGGAACTAATGCAGCTTCAGAAATCCCCCCATCACCCTGCAGCGGTTCCAATGTGTCAGAAAGATGACTTGTAACTGTTGGTGTGGAGCCCACATGTGTGTGCACTTGGAAAACTTGCCCCATCCTCCTCTAGCCTAGACATCATCTCCCACCACATGCTTTCTGCAGCAAATTAATTAAGCAGGTCAGCTCTCATTGATTATCAATTTAATTTTACTTGTAGACCCGCCGACTGGACTAAAACGGAAGTAAACGTAAAGTATATGTGATGGGGATGGGCAGCTTTTTGATGCAGCAGTGCAAATGAGTTCCCTTGACTGCTTCTTGGAAGGTGCTTTTAATTTGTTAATGGTTTTCCCATTTGTCTTCTGGCTCTGTCACTCTTCAGCACATGTGTGTGTGCATGCGCATGCACGTGTGTGCGCTCTGCTGAGTGTGTATATATCTTTCTCCCTAGATCACAGCCAGATTTTTTTTTCCTGATGGTGTAAATTACTGTGACTTCTTATACTTCGATGGCATTATGTTGATTTACACCATTCGAAGGCTTGGCTCAAAATATGTGCTGAGTGGGATGGGAAGCAGATAGGATGGGAGGAATAGCAATGTTCTATTTTGGTAAGGGGGAAGAAATCTTTGCTTTCTTGGCGCTCCCAATTTCACACATTTTCCTGCTAGTTCTTCCCATGCCATGAGTGCTAATTTGAGGCAGGATGTAGAGCCTGTTCAAGTCAATGGGACTCTCTCCATGGTGCACTTGGGCTCCGGGGTCGGCATTTTCAGTGCAGGGAAACCTGTACGCTCAGGGTGAGACCCTGGTCAGCAGTGTTCAGACCTGCAGGCTCACAATGCATTTCCACTTGGGAAGGAGGTCAAAAGTCCAGGCGTGTGGGAGGACCCTGCATCTCTATCAGCACCTGCCCTCTGAAAATGGCCCCTTTCTGTTACGCTGAACAGGGTGCGAAGCAATGACTTGCTATGATCAGTTGAGGCTTTTTAGGAGCAAAGTTCACTGGGGCAGATCCTGCCAATGCAGCTGATAGTAGAGCTGGAAGTCAGGTGCCGTTTCTGCCCTCATAAACTGGCAGTCCGGAGTGTCAAGGCCCCAGTTCAGAGTTACGTAGCTTGTTGAATGTGATCTAGTCTGAGGAAATTACTGGGCCCCAAATCTAAAGCAGAATTGAGGTTGCTCTCCTTGGAAGCAGGTGGTTGGGACTAAGGTCGTGTAAAGAGATGCTTTCAGCAGTGCATGTGGTAGTGATGAAGTTTTTGGGCTCAGTCCTGCTTCTGCTTTCTGTCAAGCTTGACTTTGCACAAGTCAGCAACAAATTACACTGGTGTAAATTTGGATTCTGGCCCCTGATGCTCATATGTGTGAAGTGAGCTAAAAAAGAACAAAACTGGAAATATGTTAAACCGAAAAAGAGCAGCAAACCTCATCAGTGACTGTTAAAGATGCCGGTCCATATGCAACCTTTGGCTCATGGAGTCTTCAAACTGCTGATTGTGGGAAGCAAAGAGAGGTTGCCAGGAGAGGACTACCTGGGGCTTGCTGCCCCCCAGGCACCTGCTGGGGCCACCGTCAAGAGCCACCCTGGGACAGAGGGACCTTTGGGCTGACCTGACGTGCTGCTTCTTGTGCTAAAATAGTTGCAGCGGCTCAGATAAACATTTCCTGTCCTCCGGTGTTAGGTTCAGAGGTAAGGTGTTGTGTGTCAGCTCCTGTGTTGACATAAAGCTGGAGGCTTTGCTGTGGTGTGGAAATGTATCCTTCAGCCTGTGTGTGTGTGTGTTCCCACAAGTTTACAAGACACACACACACACACACACACATGCCTGGGGAGTGTTTCACAGTAACCACTCTCCTTATAGCCCTCCTGCTGGAAAAAAACGTATTTGGTGTGTGCTGAGCAAGGAGAAGGATGGGAAGTGGGGTCAGGCAGGATAAAGTAGGATATTAAAAACACATAAACCATGCTGTGTTGCTAGACGGTAGCAGCATGATGTATATTCTCCAGAGCATTTCTGCTCAAGTTCACATCAACCCCAAATCCCAATTTCCAGCCAGATCTGCAACTAAGGCTCTCTGCGGGGTGGCTGCTCCCTGCCCTGCAGGATGCTGCTGTCCCTGGCAGGACACTGATGTGCAGGGGCAGCCCAGAGCTGGTTGTGGTGCTGCAAACAGCCACTGTCCCTCTCTGCAAACACCCTCTGCGTGCCCTGGCATGCTGGATCCTGGGAGAAGAGCAGGAACATGTGCTGTCTGCAGGCCTAGAGTGGTGGGAGGCTTATAAAATGCTTCTTAACCACTATTCAAGGCGAGAGGCCAAGATACAGCCTCACCCCTTTTTCTGTCTTGGATCACAGGGATCTGCAGTTGAATTGTTTGACTCTTGCCTCCAACAGGAGGAGACTGGTGCCAGAGATTACACTCTCCTGCTTCACTCTGAGATAAACTTAGCGGTAACTCCTGTGCTTAGCACAGCATATGCAGGGTGGGAGCCTGCAAAAGAGCCCAGCCAACATCTCAGTGCGGATGCAGCTCCCAGCTGAGATCGGAGGATGCTCTAGCCCTGTCCTGAGAGCCTGCATGCTTGGAGGGAAAGTGGGCAACGCCTGCAGCCTCAGTCTGGGAGCTTTAGTGCTTTATGCTGGGGGCAGAAAAAGGGTTGAAAATTACCCTCAGATCATGTATTTCCTCTTTTCCCTCTTTTCTTCCACGCTATGGCTCTGCAGCCTGAAACAAAAATGAGTATCCAGTCCTGGTCCCACCTATTAAAATAATGGGAAGGAGGGGTGGATCTAACGTTCATCTGGTAGTTATTGATTATGGCCACCTGGTAAGGCAGTGGTCTTTTCATATCATGTCGGATCATAAACTCCCTCAAAAAGCTGTCTCTGTGGTGGGCTGCATGTGCGCTGGAGAGGCCGGAGCCAGGGGCTGGCTGGGACGGCAGCTTGTCACCACAGACTGAGGCAGCATCCTCCCTGCTCGTGCTGCTGCTTGTGCACGATATTTCCCAGTGGAACTCAGTGCAAGGACATGTCAGGATGTCAGCCCATTTACCTGTGGAGAGGAGGCAAGATCTCACACAGCATTTGGGGACATCTGGCCTTTTGCATTGGAGCAATTCAGGGTTTGGGGGTGGGCTTGAAGCAGCCGTGGTCCGATAATCCAAGGTGCTGTGAGAGGCAGCAGGGCAGTAAGCTCCTGGATCTTCTGCCTGATGGACAAGTCCATCCACCATGCTGTCCTGCCAGCGGCTCAGCTCTCCTTGCCTGCTCCTGGGTGCTTGCCCAAGCTGGAGGCTGGCTCTGTTCAGAAAGCCTCCCCTAGGCTTTCCCTGCTGAGATTATTTCAACTGCTGGTCTGGTTATTTCTTTCTGCCTGGAGAGGACATAACCATATTTATGCCCTGTCTCCCTTGCAGACATTTCAGGCCAACGAGGACGCCACGGAGGTGGTTCTCAACAAGATCCACAGCCCGGTGCTCACACGCTTCGTGCGCATCCGACCCCAGAGCTGGCACAACGGCATTGCCCTGAGGCTGGAGCTGTATGGCTGCCGCATCACCGGTGAGGGTCCCTTCCTTCTCTCAGCCTCAGCCCTCCTCTCTGTCTCTTCAATAGCCTGTCCTGGGGTGCTGTCCCCGCAGCTGTCATAGCTGCTTGGGGTGGGAGCAGTGACACTGTGAGCAGCATGGATGCACCCATCCCAAGGGATGTGCTTGGGGGAACAGGCACTCAGCCCCAGAGGCAAGGGGGAAGTGCCCAGTGCTGGTGCTGGTTTAGTGCCTAGAGCTTAAACCTGCAGGGGAGAGCGCGAGAGCTCCCTCCAGCTGCCCCAGCTGTTCATGCCCTTTCCTTCCCTGCAGATTCACCCTGCTCCAACTTGCTGGGAATGCTTTCTGGCCTCATCCCTGACTCGCAGATCTCGGCCTCTTCCATCAGAGGCTATGACTGGTCTCCCAGCATGGCCCGCCTGGTGAGCAGCCGCTCGGGCTGGTTTCCCCGTGTCCCCCAAGCCCAGCCTGGGGAGGAGTGGCTGCAGGTGGACCTTGGCATCCCAAAGAATATCAAAGGCGTCATTATCCAGGGGGCTCGAGGAGGGGACAGCGTGACTACCACTGAGTCCCGCTCCTTCGTGAAGAAGTTTAAGGTGGCCTACAGCATGAATGGAAAGGACTGGGACTTCATCCAGGACCCCAAAACAATGCAAGCCAAGGTAGGCACTGCCTGGAGCAGCTGCAAAATGAGATATGTTTCTGGCTGTCTTCAGTCTGCCTGATGGGGTCTTGGGAAATCAACTGCCTCTCCCCCCAGAGACCTTGGGAGTTTGGGTTGTCACCAGGAAATCCCAGGTTGTGTCCCCTGGTCCTGCTCCTAAGCTGTACTACAGGGTGTAGGTTCCACCTTGCCCCAGGGATTGCAGTTTCCCTTCATTTTCCTGAGCATGTGGACATCACCTTCTGCTCCTCCCAGCTCCTGCAGGTCAGAGCCCACAAGATGATATGTTCAATTATGTTTGACACAAACTAGTCACATATTTTAAGGAGAAAGGTGTTGCTGCTGTGGCTTGCACCTCTGGAAGAGGAAGTTGAATCACAACTTCTCTTTGAGAAATTTGCTATATCTGAAGTCCCTTTTGCCACACTGGCGTGACCCTGAAATTCCCTGTGTTTTCCCATGTTGTTGGAGTTCCCCATAATCTTTATGCTTAGCGGTATGAGAGTGACGGGGGCTTGAATAAATGAATTCTGTGCTACTTCTGGTTCTGCTTTTATGCAAACTCATCTGCTTCTGAAAACTCTGGTAAGTTTTAATATTTCCTGATCCTACAAATGAGTCTTAAGAAGACCCGATGCTATCTATAGCTCTCTGTGTATTCCCCCCAGACGTGAGTTTGTGCATGCAAGCTGAAAAGCAGCTGTACTTGAACTGTGAGGAAAACTGAGCGTTTACACTATCTTAGAACATGCAGTAGCATCTTTGTTTGCCAAAGGACAAATCTGCTCTTATTTATATGTGCAGTTAGTGGATGTTCCCCAGGCTTCCCCTGCAAGGCTTGGATCAAAATCTGACCCCTGGATATAAAGCAGAGCCCAAGAGGGATTGTGCAAGTTTCTTAGAAACAGCCTGTCTGGTCCTCTTGAAACTGAGGAGAAACAGCCCCATTTCTGCTCAGCTGGACTCGGTGGCCCAGAGTTGGACAGCTAAACTATTTCAAACTGTGACTGTGTCCTGCCAGACCCAGATTATCAAGTCTGGTGGAAAGCATGTGGGATGCACACATCACTTGCTTTTTCTCTCTCTCTCTCTCTCACTCTCTCTGTAGCTTTTTGAAGGCAACATCCACTACGATATCCCTGAAGTCCGGAGGTTTGACCCTGTTCCTGCTCAGTACGTCCGAGTGCACCCGGAGAGATGGTCCCCAGCGGGAATAGGAATGCGCCTGGAGGTGCTGGGCTGCGACTGGACAGGTAGGAGCCTCTGTGCCCCTGCCCACAAGCTCTATCAGGGCCATGGCGGGTGCTAAACCAGCAAGGTGCAAGTGTAAGGTTCTTCTTCTCGCCCCTGTGCCACCTCAGGGCCATAATGCGGCAGGGAGACTGCAGCCATGAGGGCAGAAACTGCAGGGTGGCCTGAGCCCATCTGTTTACTTCCACCTTAAAGGAACTGGCCTTAACACAGCATGTAGCAGCAATGTTTGGACCCAAATCCAAGCTTTTACAGAAAACCCACAGAGGGATTTGTCCCCAGCTTCCTTCTCCCTCCTTTCAGATACTTTATCTGGATGTTGTGCAGGCTTTCTCACTCTCTGTGATAAATAACATTTGGGCTTTTTAATTCAAATGAATAAGACAACAAACAGGAAGAGAAACAGAGTTGCAAAAGAGGGTGCAATGACCACTACAGGTATCTTCAGGTGCCACAATAAGGTTTTGCTGTAAAAACAACTGTTCCTCTCTCATTGAACCCCATGTGGAAATCCTTTTGCAGACAAGGTTGAGGATTTAATTCTACAACATCCTTAAGACCAGAGAAGTTTGTTCACTTTCACCCACCTGTCTTTCACAAGTGATATGCCTTGCAGTCATCATTACTTTATACAGAGGTGAAAACTGACTAACACACTCACTGGGATCAGTAGAGGTTGTGCCTCTGACACTTCTGAGCCTCAGTGGTGATTGATAGCTCCAGTTTTATCCTCAAAAGCCAAAAACGCACCCAGCAGCTCATTGTGTCTGATGCTAGCTTTTCAGTGCCAGGGGCTAGTTGTCCTTTTTTAAAATCTATTTTATTTTTTTTAATAATCTGGTTAAAGCTGAATCTGGTGTCCAGATGTTAGTGATAAAGAGATATGATTTCCATTTTATAAACACATCTGTAGAAGGCATTTGCTTGTAAGAATTTCCATTCTAGGAAGCTTAAAAGACACAGAGCTTTTTTCCACCCTTTTGTGAAGTCTTTACCACCCTTTCCTCCTGTGATGTGCTGTGAGATGCATTACAAACACGTAACAGCAAATCACAGAACACAGGTACACACAATTAATAATGATAATTTGTCACCTTTGAAGTCAATAGCAAATCTACCCCTGGACTGGGAATCCATTGTAAATTATCTAAACTTTATATCAAGGTTAGATCTTAATTTAAATCTTACAACATCTTTGGGATGTTGTAGGAGGAGCAGGCACCGTGGTTTTCATGCAAGCAGCGGGAGCTGAGGCTCCATGCAGAAGTGGTCAGGCAGCTCCCACATCGCTGCTTCTGGCAGCTCCCAGGAATCTCCAGCTGCCAGATCTCTGCAGACCGCTGCTGGCTGGTGCATCACAGTGCTGCATCACTGGCGCAAAGGGAGAGTTGCACAAGACCTCTGACCATGTATATGTCAGCCCCTCCTCCAAATCAGAGAATGAGAGGGGTTTGGCATCCTCAACTTCTTGTGCTATGTTTGGTCCAAATTTTCTTTGACAGCTATGTCCATGTTCAGTTTCAGTATCAGCAGCAGCAGCCCATGTCTTTTCCGGGCAGGGTGCTTTATGGTCATTTCCCAGTGTGGCTGTCTAATCATTTGCACATTGTAATGTTTAAAACATAACCGCCAAGTCATAAATATTCATAGCTTTATTGATCTACAGCCATTCAGCTTTGTAATCAGAGCAGGGCTTGTAATCTTGTGGATTCACCATGTTATAAAAAGCATTTATATCCCTGATGCAACCTGGGGAGCAGAGATAGCCCATGGCATTATCTGCATGCTAAATCCAGGCTGGCTACACGCAGCAGTCCTTGACAAGGCCAAGATACAGCCCTGCTTTGCTGGGAGGACCCAGGCACGTTACAGAACTGGCTGTGAAAACCCAGGCAATTGCACTTGTTTGGGAAGATTATGAGAGGGATTAAAACAAGTTGATTGAAAATATTTTCAAGTGAGGGTCTAAGCCCATGGTACCCTGCCCAACTTTTTTTATTTCTTATCAGCAATGAGCATCTTCATTACTGAGTCAAACAGGTAACTTAACAGCAACTGGGATCACAAACTAGTTGGCTAGTAGCTCAAAAATTGGGAAGCAGGCAGTCAGCAATTGACTTCTTTCAAAGAACTGCCAAATTTTTTCCTCTGAAGAGTGGAGATTGATGAATGTTCACTTGCAGCTGGTTTTCTCTCCTTTGAAGTTCCAAACATCTGTTTTCAATTACTTAGTGACTTTGCATTTTGATCAGCACTTACCACCAGTTGCACAGACACTTGCTGGGCCAGGGAGAGAGAAAGCGAGCAAGCAAGACCTCTCTTTTTCACTTTCTATTTCACACATCATGTTGTCCTCCCTGCTATTTTCATTATCTCTTGTAACCATCATGTTGTGACTCTGCCATGGTAACTGATTTTTCAAGATACATTTCTGCGGCTTGTCTGGGGCAGTGCAACACTGTTGATTTACATCCGCTCAGCATCTGTGTCCCGTATGGGACTTGGCTTTCAAGGTCCTTCCACATTGTCACATTTCAGCTATAAATCTTAATATACAAGAACAACCACCTAAAAAAATGTGCCAGCTCTAAATAACTTGCAGCTTTTGATATGTTGCCTTCACCTGCTGCTTTTTTTTTTCTTTTCTTTTTTATGACATTTTTCTGTGCCTGGCTGCTTGCAATTTGCTTCTTCATTGCGTTTGGAGTTTTATGAGGTTGTAAGAAATTTGAACTTACAAATTAAAAGACTTTGAGGTTATTTGGTATTTTCTCCTGCACAAAAGACATCCACTGGGAAAAAAAAAAAAAACAAAACTAAAAAAGCCCTGAGAGTTTATGTGCAACATGTTTAATAACAGGAAAATAAAAGGGCAGAAAGGAGGCTATGGAAAATATTCAGTGTATTTAGCCATTTCCTCCTGCTTCTGGCTTTATTAAATGATATCCTGGAGGTTGCTGACAAAGAAACACAATCACACATAAGTGAGCAAAGCAGCCTCTTTTTAAAAGTAGAAAGAATCGAGCCTGCTGTACTCATAAAAGGAGAGACTGCTGGAACCTGATGTCGTTTACTGTTGATCTTAATATCCTTCCCTTTCTTGCTTAAATTTCCCCTGACACCTGCTTGGAGGTTGTTTCACACGGGCCATGTTGGAGAGAGGGAAATTGGACAGAAACCCTTTGAAAGTGTAGTCAGGAGCCTGAAGTGTGAAACCAGATGCTTTCTGCAGCAACCCAGAGCACACTAGGGGATGCTCTGGGTCCGTTTGCGGTTACGTCATTTGTGGGTTTGAGTGACTTGTTTTATAAATTGGCACAATTGGTGGGAATGTTGTGTGTGTTTTTTTAACGTGTCTTATGCCTTTATGAAAGAAAAAGATATTCTGCCTGTGATTTCTCTTATCCAGTAACAACAGCTAAGTGGATTGCCAAAACCTGTGTAGATTAAAAAATTAAGATAAAAAATAGCATGTATGTCTAGAGGAGAGCCATGTCCAATGGGGACTCTAAATCAAAGGAACTCCTGTATGGAAACAGCCAGTTCATATAAAGTTCAAACCATAACAGACATTTGTAGCACGTGGAAATTTCATGGTATTCTTGTTCTATCTCTTCCTGTCATTATAAGAACATGAGAAAAAAAAAATTGCTTTGTTTCCTTCTACCTGGGCTTTTTGCATTGTCTGTTGCTAATAGCATCTCTACTCCATTTTTTTTTCAGATGTAAAGCCCACTGCAGAGACGCTGGTGCCTACTTTGAAGAGTGAAGAGACCACCACCCCATACCCATCTGATGAAGAGGCAACTGAGTGTGGTGATAGCTGTGGAGAAGAGGACGGTATGTATCAGAGCAGCAAATCTTTATCTCAATAAATGATGGGTTAAGAGCTAAGCAAATACTCTTATCTTCCCATTTGCTCTTGTACATGGGGCTGATTCCTGGAAATTTTAGAGTAATATTATTAGTGATAGGCCAAGATAAAAAAAACCACACACAAAACTTGACAAAATCTGATAAGTTTTATCAAGGAAGGATGGAAGAGCAAGAGATAGAAACTAATTCAGTCCCTAGGGTACAAGACTTGAAGAGCTGCTTTCCCAGCTTCCTTACGTGACCTCAAGCAACTCACTTAGTGCCCTGTTTAGAGCTACCTCTGTTCCAGATCCCCTTGGCTGGGTGTCATAAATTCAGAAGGTGATTCAGGGGAGAGATTCAGATTGCCTGGTATGCAGGGCTGCTTTTGCAGAGGTCACAACTGTGGGAGTAAATCATGACATGTAGAGAAGGCTGATGTCCTGAAGACCTATTGTTAAGGATCATCTTCCCTAATATCAGCTGCTTAAAATTTAGGAGGACAGTCTGGGCTCCTTATGCAGGCAGCAGAGAGAGGGGAACACTGACTCCAGGCAGGAATTCGTCCCCCCAGGCTGTCAGATGTACAGGGAATGGTTTGGTATCCCTGGCGCTTGCCTGCCTCTTCTGACTATAGAAGAGGCTGAATGTTAGTTTAGACTACATGCTGTGCTTGTAAAGAGCCAGTGCTGGGGGGTGCCAATCCTCTCTGCCTCAGATCCCTACCTGTAAAAGCTGCCATCATATTCTTCTGCTCCTTGCAAGGGGTGTGTGAGCATCTAAAGCTTCTGACATGTCCAGAGTAAGGGGAGTGGGCATGGAAGAGCTGTGCAGGGTTAGATGTACAGTACAGTGTGCAGGAGATGCACACCCCTGGGCACGACAGCAGAGCCTGGGCCTCTGCACTGGGGCTTGGACATTTACACAAGGACTTCAATGAGAAATCTCAGGAGGAAAAGCTATCTTTTGAGATAGCTCCTAGGACTTCTGTCACTTCAGCTTCCAGTCCCAGAGAAAAAATTAATGGGTTTTAAAATACATAAGTTAAAAAAGGAACATTAATTGGCTTTTTCACACCTCCCATTGGGATTCTGCTGTAGTTCAGTTCTGGAAATGCAAGTTGCAAAAGTACCTCAAAGGTCCTGATTTTCATTGCTTTGCCTCAGTGATAAGCCTATGCAACCCTGCTACCATTGAGGCACTTGGGAAGCTGCCGAGAGGAAATTTAGGCCAGTAATAGTCTCTGCAACAACACAATTCCTGGGTGCAGTCCAGGGCAAGAGAGCGAGCGGAGAATGCCATGGAGCGTGGAACCAGTCTCCCCGTCAGCTTCCCTCAGATTTAGCAACAATTTTCATTCTCATATTCCAAAAACAATCAGTGTGTTTCTCTGGACCATCAGATTTATGACAGCCAAACAGAAACAATGCTGCTCTCCAGGGTATGAGATTAGATTGGAATAAAAGGATCCATGATCTGCATTGTTCTATTTCGAAGTGGGAGCATGTAAAGAAAGCCCTCTGCCCCTTGCAGCAAAGTTCCCCTGATGCCTATCGCTTGAGTCACTCACCTCCTTCTGGCTATCATTCAATTTGTGGGCACTATGATTTAAAACTTCCTCTTTGCTCAGGAAAAATCCAGACGATAATTGGGCTGTGACATGCGTGTCCACTGAGTGCTTGGGACGGTCCCAGACCATTTCTGCAGCTTCTGTGCCCTTATGGGTGCTTCTCTCACCAAAAGAGCCAGCAGCTGCCTTGCTGCTACATGCCGTCCCTGACATGTGCCCTCCTCCCCACAAATCTGTCTCTGCAGGAAGACTCTACAGAGCTTTTAAAGCTGTTGACACAGGGGAATTAGTTCTGCTCCTGTTTCACAGATTAGAAGTTAAATGACTTGCCCAAAGATCGTGTGGTGAGTCCATACTGGACCTAGAAATAGAGGCTGTCTCCTTTCACTGAGAATCCAAAAGCTTGAGCTCATGGTGGCCCCACATTTCCCCTGGTAGCATTTCCATAAGAAGGTAGAAAGTGATGAGTGACAGCTCACCACATTGACAGACAGCTCCTGTCTGGTGCGTGTGGCTAGATCCGTCACTCAGGAGCTGGGTTTCTGGAGCACTTGAGATTCTCCTTTTGGAGCCAGAGCAGGCACTGATGAGCACAGGGCACTCAGGAAGCACTCTTCCCTGACATTTAAGAAGGCATTTAATATTTGACCGCTCTAGGGGATGAACAAAAGGTGCTGATTAGAGTCTGGAAGCATTTGGTACTTGCTTTTATATATTTGCTTAGTTTGGTGGATTAGCCGCAGGACGTGGTGTGAGCATTTTGATGATGCAGAACTTAAGGCTGATCCCTGGAGCTGACAAAGTGTTAGATAGGTTAAAAGCATCAGTGTGAGTGAGATTTCATGCTTTCTTCAGTATTTGTGGCTTGACAGCTATTTTAGTTTTGGGTTGTTTTTTAATAGCATCTCTTCATGGTTAGGTCATTTTTTAATCCAACTTTATTTTGCTTCTATTTCTTTTTATAAGATTTCCATCTCCCTGCGAACTTCAACTGCAACTTTGATCTCCCTGAAGACCTCTGTGGTTGGTCACACGACACAACAACAGGTTACATGTGGTCTTTTCAGTCTACAAGCACCTGGATTGATAACTCTGAACCAAGCCCTGAGACTGTGCCTGGTAAGATGGTTAATACCGTACCACAGCAGGGAGGAGGGACCTGATGGGGCTTTCTCTGTGTGAACAGTATGACTGATATTGGACAGCTATCAAGAGTTGTGAGGGCTGTGCAGAGCTAAATGTTTTCTTTCGTAGAAGTTTTCAGATGCTTTGCTTTGTGGTTCATGACTTACTTGTAGGCCTGTGACCGCTGGCACCGAGTTATACTAACTGTCCTCTTGAGATAGCCTTGAATCGGACACTGGGCTTTGAATCCCCTGTGACCATGTAGGTTAACCCAGCCTTTGTTCCACATCCAAGTGTCCTCTATAGGACCAAATGTGTTTTCACCAGAATGCACTTCCTCTTTTGTTAGAGATGCGTTTCTTCTTCCCATATGTTGCTCGGATTGCCTATAGTCTTCAGCTGTTCTGCACTCTGGGCTTGCATAGGCTGGATTTCAGCCTCCTCCAAGTGAAAGATGAGCTAAGCCCTAAGAATGCAGAAATATGCCAGCTTCTTGCTGTTTGACTTTTGCTCTTTTTCTCTTCTGTGCTTTGGAAGCCGAAGATTTGCATGAGTGTGGCAGAGCCTAATTTACGGAGGACCTCACTGAGATGTGCTGGCATGGGTTGGAAGGGAGCCTGTCTCTGGCAGTGTGGCTGATGAATCAAGTTCTTCAGCTTCACATCTTGGAACTCACCCCAGGACTAGTGCCCTTTCCTTACTCTCGTTGACTTTGTGGCACCGGTGGCACAAAAAACATTTGCCAGTTTCCTTGTAACAGTAGATTGTGTCACCGTAACATCACTTCTCTTCGCTGTCGGTCATTGTTTATGAACCTCAAGGCTTCCCCAGGGAGAGCTGGCTGATCTTACCTGGCTTCAGCTCTGCCCTGATGCCCAGTGACTCCAGTGTCTGCGGGCTGTGCGCCCAGGGAGCCATGCATGCTGCGGGCTCCTCCCTGCCCTCCCCCCAGTAAGGTTGAGTCTTGAGATGCAAACATTCAGGCGAACCTGTTAGCCACCTGGCAGAGGCGCTGGCCAGATTGGCAGTGCCGCCCCAGATTGGCAGGGCCCCCAGCCAGTTGGAAAGCCATGCAGCCAACACCTGGTAGGCAGTGCTAAAGAGGAAAATATGTATTCCAGAAACATATGGGAAGAGGAGAATCTGATACATCTCCACACACAAATCACCCCCACACAAATGCACACATCATTTCTCCCTTCAGCTCCTGAGGTGCTCGGCATTTTTCTAAGAGACACAGTAATGCTGTAAGTGCAGCCTATATGGACATCTGACAAATTCTTTGGTGTGACATAGGGTCACAGTGCCTGCTATGGAGAAAAAACATTTTCATATTTCAAGTGTTTATCTCTTCGGCATTTGAGTGCTTTAGAAGATTAATATCTGGAGCTCAGTGGAGCCTCAGGCAACAGGAGAGAACACTTACAGACAGCCCCAGACTTAATAACCCTCCCCATCTCATTCACTGTAATAATGTTTAATTAATATAAGCCTCCTGCAAGTAGGATAAAAATTACTTATTTTTATAACTTGGACTCAATTTTTCATTTCATTTCCTCTCCCCCGAGTCTCCCTACAATTAGTTGGCTATAGTTTCTTAGAAGACTGTTGAATGTGCGCACACGTGTGTGTGTGTGTGTGTGTGCGCGTGTGTGTGCACAGCCCGAGAGAGGCTGCTGCTGCCTCAAACAGCTCAGCGTGCCCTTCTTCTACCCTTTCTTCTCTTTCTCAGTTATGATTTGCAAAACCTCATCCTGTGTCCGCGGCAGTGTTTTGCAGCTGAGTTCAGTGATCTGGTTTCGTGCCAGCAAGGAGAGCTCTCCCTTACAGGGCTGTGCCAAGCCAGGCACTGACGAGGTGCAGGCAGGCACTCAGGCCCTGCCAGGCACGGCAGACACCAGGCACAGGCTGGGGGATAGCTGTTGGCACTGCCATGGGATCAGCCTCCTGGCTGGGTCGAGCAGGGACATGTCCTCCCAGCTGCTGTGCCCGCACAGTACGAGGCTGCGTAGGGGTCCGCATGCAAAGGCATCGTGTCGCGCCTTGCTTTGGTCCTGCTCTTAGAAATTAAGAAGACATGACACAAAAGGGAAACAACTATTTGCTTTTTTCCTCCCCGCACAGCTTTTAAAAGCAACTTGAGAAACATGAAAAAGAGGCAATGCCGGCCCCTTGGCGGGGACAGAATCGAGGCATTGTTTGGTTCACACTCCCCCATTCTTCCCCTGCCTTTCCCTCACACTCCCTCCAGCACTTTTTTTCTACTTAGAACATTCATCCTCAGACTACAGGGAACAAGGAGTGAAAAGCCCTTGTTCAGGGTGGTCTTTTCTTATGAATTCCCCACCCTGGGGTGAGCAGTTGGGTGAAGGAGAGCAGCTGTTCTTGGCTTAGGGGCAAGGCAAAAGCTAACGGGAACTCAAAGCTGCTGGAGCCCAATTTACTCTGATTTAAAGGTTCTGGCCCTGGATAGAAGCTGTGGCTGCTCCGCAGTACCAAGGAAATGCACTGTGCCTTTAAGCCATGTGGGATGTGTTTCTATTTCTTCTGAAAATGGCAAAACAAAAATTAAAATTAAAAGGGAAAAAAGATAATAATGAAAGGAGGAGCCCTGGCTCAGTCTGCATGAGAGAGAGAGGGAGGGGGAAGGAAATGACCATGGTGAAATATCCTCTGTGAGGCACTTGATTAGAAAAGTCTGCTGAGAGACAGGCCTGAATTCCTCAGATATCTCCTGATTTCATTTTCTGCACTGCATGCAATTCCTCCTCATCTTTGGCGTGTAGAACTTCTTCTCGGGACTGACAAGACACCCACTGCTCTCATTCCACTATTTTTATTTCCAAGATACTCTTTCAGGCAGCTCTGCATTTCTTTTTTTAGCCCTGTGTTCCTTGGGCTCTTCACACCATGGATTAGCTCCATGTCCTCTCCTGCAGGCTCCTGTTACAGGTCTGGGGACCCCATTGGTGAAAGTGGACCCAAAGTGCCCAACTCGGAAACCCAGCATGGTTCCAGCTGTTACCCTGCCCTTTGCAAGCCTAAAAAATACTCCCTTTTCCGTGCCCCCATGAGAGATTGCCAGGATTTTTCCCTCTATGGTTTTTCAGATGCTTCCCATCTGTAGAAAGATTCCCCTTAGCTGCACCTACCAAGCTTCAAGGAGCAACAAGTTCAGATTTCAATGAGGCTTCATCCCCCCTCCTGCTGCATGCAATGGCAATGTGCCACTGGTGTCGAGATAGAGGTCTTAAGACCTGAAAATAAATCTGTATTGATAAATTGGGCACCTCAACCCTTCACGGTCTTTGAATTTCACCAGGGTCTGGATCCTGAAGGGTGTAAAGATCCTGGGTTGTATCCTTACCTGGTAGGTGCAGTTGCTTTGCTGTCAGTGATGCTACACTAATGAGCCAGCACTGAAAAGCTGGAATCGGTGTGTTTTTCCCATTTTTTTTCCCCTCTCCTCTTCTTGCAGTCATTAAGTAAATACCTTGTGGTCCTAGAAGAGCACTGTGGGGTCTGCACCTCTGCCACGTGCTGCTTCTCATTCAGGTGAGCACAGCAGCAGAGTCAGAGCCCTGGCAGCATTGTGAACTCCATGTTGTTCAGATGTTGGCAGCTGTACATGCACGCAGAAAAGGAAGCGATTTTAACCTTGCAGCTCTCCTGACCACATAGCTCTTGGGCTGGACTGCAAAAACCCACCGAGAGCTTCTGTTGTGGGCTCTGGCCTCACTGGCTTGGAGGGTCTGGAATGCTGCTCATTCACATTGCAGGCATTGCAGGGAAAGGTTTATTTGTTTCAAAGTGTTTCCAGCAGAGGAATATTTGTAGTGCTCTGAAGTTTTGTAAGAGCTTATTTTTTAAGGAAAACAAATGTTGAGCTGTTTTTAAGCCGATGGTGACCCTTTACCATTCCTGTGTTTTTCCCATGGGATCTTTAAAAGGGAAAGTTTAATATTTTTCTTGCAATCCATGAGAACTTTTGCCTGAAGGCCTTGATCCTACTCTGTCCGAACCAGCAGAAAGGTTTTCATGGTGTTAATGGAGCAGGGCTGGACTGAATTGGGTCTGCACTTACTCTCCTGAGACTTACTCTCAGGGCTTGTGCCTTGGGGACACATTTTGACCTCTAGGGTCAATCCTGCCCCCTTTGAAGTAGGAGGGAGTTTTGCATGTGGGGTGGTGTGAAAGTCAAGCACTTCTGTGCAATGAGCAAGCAGCTGCATGCTGTGGGAAGGAGAACACATACCCAGCTCTGTCTCTCCCCGCTCCCTACATGTGTGGTGCAGATTGAGCTGGGCATGGCTCTTCAGACCCTCATTTGCACAGTGAGGACAGCAAACCCTAAAAAGTGCCTTGACTGCCCGCAGCACAGTGGAGCTGGCACACACTGGCACCCAGATCATGGGAGGTTTGCTGAGTGTCGGCTGGGTTGTGCAAGAGCCCTGGCCATGGGCTAAGGCTAGGCTGTGGCTGTCCTCACACCCATACTGTCTTTCTTGAGAGAAGGCGCATGGCCACAGTCTGTCCCTGCATTGCCAGCAAAGCGCCCACTCACTTGGGCTGGAGGCAGAGGGGAAGAAACCATTCCTCTGGGGCTCATGTGTTTCTTCGCTGTCTGAGTCCTTAGTCACTTTTTGGACCCAAACACCAGTGACACACACTGCCTATAAAACCAGGCTGGAATGCTCTCTGGAAAGCAAGACACTGTCTCGCAAATCTTAGCACATGCATCATCACTCCATCACTTCGCAGCAATGACTGAGCAGCCTGTGAGTCACAGAGCCCGACTGGGGAAAGCGTGCGCACATGCAGGCAAGCCGCTGTGCACAGCACATACTGCAGAAGCGCCGGCTCAGCAGGTTAATGCCTTTAATTGTGCATGCACAAGCGCTGGGCATGGGTGGGTCTGTGCACAGCCTTTCGTGTGAGGGCATGCAGGGTGCCTGCCAGGCTGGTGGTGCAGGGGCACAGTGACAAGCAGCTCACTTAGCGTAAATGTCAGGTTCTAATTGACATTTGGTTTGTCAGGGACACTGTGCCTTCCCTGCGCTGCCAGGGGGAGGCAGCAGGACTCACAATTGTGCCACGCTGTTGGCGACATGAGGGTTAATTAAGAGAGAGAATATAATGGCCCATCCATTAGAAGGGCTCCAGAGAGCAGGCTGAGGGCTTGGTTCTGGGCAGGTGTGGGGTTTTATGCCTTTTCACAGACTGATTTAGAGACTGAAATGGCAAGGACTTGGCAGGCTAATTAACACATAATCAAAATTGAGGGGATTTTCCAGCAGACGCAGTGATCTAGTTAATATAAGTATTAGTTTTACGGAGGATTGATTTCCCTTTGTAAATGAAAGTCTGTCATTGAGGAGAGGCCTGTCACTGAAATTACAGTGGCAGCTTTTTGAGGTGAATTTGCATGATTTGCCAAAAAAAATAAAAATATAATAACTATCCAATTTCAGTCTGCATATTCATGCAGCTGCCATCCCCCTACTACCAGAGGAACATGCAGTCATGAGGGGATCTGAGCTGATCCACTCACCAGGAAAGGCAAGGGCTGATGTGAGTTCCAGCTCACCCACCACAGAAGAATGGCGGGATCAGGCCCCTCTGGGACATCCCTTTGGCCCTGACGCAGCGCGCTTGGGGTGACATTTGGGGCTGTGCAGGCAGCAGGCAGGGCCTGGAGCATAGGTGTCACCCATGGGATTTGGCAGAGAAGAGGTGGCTGCTTGGTGGGCTGTGTCACTGCCACTAAAACACACTGTGATGGGTTTGCCGCTTAACCCAGGACACACACCATGAAACAAGCTCTGCAATGAAGAGTGCGGTGACCTTTGGAGGGATGTAAGTAAAGGCAATTCAGTGTGGGTCCTCCATAGGACCAGCAGCTGTAACTTAATGATGTCCAGCAAGGGGGAAATGCAGAGGGAATCTGAAATCTCAGTAATTGCTTGTGTACATCCTGCCTAACATGTTTTGCTGGAAAACCTCCAGATGTGCTGGTGAGACAAATGAGGAAAGGTGCTTTTCCTGGGAGAGGGGGTGAGATGTGCAGGACCCAAGCACAGGTAGGCTGACCTTGCAGAGGGAGCCGCTGCTGCGGCTTGTGCTTGCAGCCTGACACGAACCACAAGGCTTCATCCACTGCTGCCCCTAAAGTCCTCTCAGATGGCTTGCTAGCAGGAGGGAACGGGCGTGCCAAGAGGAAACTGCATTGGCCAGATGGTTTGTTTGCAGGGCCTGGCTGGTGATTTATCCGGGACTCACTGCCGTGCACATACAAGCGATTCTGCCATCATCTGGCTGGGGATGGTTGCGTGTTCATACTCCTCTGGCTCCCCTACCTCCAGATGATCCCATAAATCTTCCATGAGATTTATGCCGTAGCATCAGTTGCAAAAACAGCAGTAGGTTAAAATGCCTGAGCAGGTTTGTCCTGCCTTTCTTGAGCCAGCGCTTCGAACTACCAGTGCCAGTTCGGTGGGGGATGTAGCTGCTGTGTGAGCTGGAATAGAGGCTGCAAAGCGGAGTTCTGGGAAGGAGATTAAAATGCATTTCTGATCCTGGAAGAATTGATCAGCTCATCATTGCAAGTCTCCCTTCAAGTGTCTTAACAGGGGAAATCAGCCTTTCAGGTGCTTTCTGTGCCAAACGCTTCCATTTACTTTATCAAACAGAGCGACTGCTGGAACCACCAGGCTCTCACATGCTGTTCCAACAATTAGCTCCACAGTGCCCTTGTTCAGTCAGTCTCAACAAATTCGTGGGGCTTTTCAGAAGGTCCAGCTAGCCATAGAGTGATCCAGCCATTTCATCTTCAAGTGGCACAGAAAGTCGTGTCTGCTCATGCTCAGCTCTCTGCTCCAGAAGCTGGTACCAGGAGCAGAAGCGCATGGTGCCCAAACCCACTGCTACTTTCAGGGGAGCAGTTGGGTTCGTCACCCAAAGACTGAGCCTCCTTGCAGCCCTTGGGACTGCCCGGGAGGTCCTGGAGAGCTCTGTGGGCCCCAGCAAGAGCTGGGCAGGGAGCAGAGAAGATGCAGGGCTTGAGAGGGCTACCGTGGCTCTGAAGGAGCCCGTGTGGTTGAGGAGGGCGTTGGTTTTGGCTGCAGTTAAGGAGTTTCTTAGATTTCACAGCCTGATAGGAAGGGTAACAAACCAGAGGTCGGTGTCATCCCTGGCGGGAAGGATGTGACTCAGAGGCGCACAGGCTCTTTTGCTGAAGCAGTGCAGGCAGGATGCTGGGTACCACTGGCTCCCAGTGAGGGGTGTGGATCATGGGGGGGTTTCCAGCTGCACAATTAACATTGTCCTCTGTGGTCAGCTGTGGGCTTTGGGTGGATCCAAGGATGGCTCACATCCCTGCACTCAATCAGGCTGCCTAGACACCGGCACCAGAGATCAGTCCTGAACTCTTGAGGATCTGCATCTTGATCACTCTTGAGCCTGGCTGGTGCTTTTGTTAAAGATGTGCCTGCGAGACCATTTCAGCTGTGAGATAATTGTATGATCACAGTCTGATTTGCTCTTCCACCTTGTTTGTTGTTGCTGCTTTTTTCTTGTGTTGTTGCTTTTTTTCTTTGAAGAGGCTTGTAGTGAATTACAAAAAGAGGAATTTAATTCAGGAGACCTTGATGACTTATTATGCCTTATCACTCCTTAGACGTGGAGTACAACTTGTTCTTTTTTTTTTTCCCTTCCTCCACTTGTTTATCTCCCACATCTCCTCCTCCACCACTACCACTCTGAGGCAAATCACAAGAATGCTCCTCCATTAGAGAACGGCATGGTACTTTTTCAAGTGATTCACTGAAGCAGGAGTGGGCAAACATGCTTTAATCTTTTTTTCTGCTACTGTTGGCATAAAGTGCCAAGTGGCCCAAGTACTTTTCATAGGTGCTGGAGAATATTTCTGGAAAATGTTGCATGTTCTTTATGTCGCCGGTCAGAGACAGATTTGTCCTTCACGCAGCAAAATCAGTGAAAGTTCATATGGATTGGATACACTTTTGGAATATTTTGATCATATATCCCAGGAGTGGAGTGATGGCAAATCTTTTTGCTGTCTTGTCCTAAATTTATTTTAGAAAGCTGCGTAGCTCACGGTGGTTGGTTTCAGCCTGGCTCTGCGGTAGTGGCAAACTTGCGGCAGGGCCAGTGGCTGTGCAACCACTGATCCATCTCCCTTGGGCTGGGATGTCACCAGATTGCTGAGCAGCACGAGGTCAGCTGTTGTTTCCTGGGTGGGACCTGTGTTTTCACACTCAGGAACTGAGCTCTAAGTTCAGGTCTCTCTGGTTTAAGTTTTGGAGGTGTTTTGGGTGCACTTTGCAAACATTCTCAGTGCAGACGCTGCTCTTCTGCCATTGCTGTGGGCACTGAAGCCGCAGAGGGAGCAGGGCAAGCAGGAGGCAAGCTGCTGCTCAGGGCTTTGCCTGTCAATTGAAGCAGGCTAAGAAGTGGGGAAAGGAAGCGAGAGAACCTTAGGTGTGGTCCTGGGGCAGAGGTCCTGGCTGCAGCAGGGCTCGCACATGCTGGCGTGAAGTTACAGTGACACTTGCCCACTGTGTAGCAAGAGCAAGCGTGTTCATCCTGCCGAGTGAAATGCAAGATACGGCGATATCTGTCATTGGCCTGTCTTTGTCACCTTGTGCTGCAGGTGCTGCAGTCGGAGCAACCCAAGGGATTCTGTCCTGCTGTTGGTGATGGGGGGCGGGGGACATGTAAGGATCAGATCAGCTACACGCTTGCCTTTCAGCCCATGCTAAGGGACTTCAGGCATCCAAGCTGCAGATGAGAAACTCCTTGAGGAGGCTTCTCATCAGACAGGGCTGGAAACCACTGATTCCAGACCAAATCAGCCATCCCCAGGGATTTGTATCCATGGGCTTTTGCTGCTGTTGGTATTCAGATCAAGTATCTCCAATTCCAGTCTCAGCCTTAAACTTCTCCTGGGATATCAAACATACTGAATCTCCTCCCTGAGGACTGACAAAAAGCATGGCACAATTTAAATGTAATATTAAAGCAAGTGAATCCCCTTTGTATGTATTTCAGCAACCTTCAAGTTTGCCACTACTCAGTTGTCACCTGTGTGTACTTCACTCACTGGGACCACATCTTTCCTCTGTGCTGTGCTTTAGGGGCTGTTTTGCTGTATTACAGAAAAATCGAGAGCCAGGCTTTCATTTTGTCATGCGTACCCACAAAACAAAATTGTCAGCCAGATCCTGATTGTGGAGTATTAACTGCTGGGGATGAAAAGAGGCAGGATGAACACAGCTTGAGATCCCCATCCCAAGATGAGTTTTCAGTACTGACAGTTACAAAAAAGCACCTGAAGCTTATTCACTGAGCAAGCTCTCAGCAGAATAAACACACCCCTCCGCCAATGTCATTACCGTGGCATCACTTCTTCTGACAATAACTGCTCTTTAACTTCTCCTGATTATGTGGATCTTCAGCTTAACCACTTTCTGGTTTTGCTGTCCATCTCCTTCCCGACGGTGGTGGCTGGTGAGGGAAGTGTGCTCCTCGATGCCCTGCCCGGGCTGCGCAGGGCACAGCGGTGGCATGGCTCACTGCGCACACAGAGGATGCTGCTGTAAGACCCTGCTCCTGCAGGCAGGCGTGTGAGAGCCTGCCCAGCACTGCAACGCCACCTGGCAGGAGGGGAGACACTTGTTGCAAGTGGCAGCAGAAAATAATATAATGGTGTTTTGCTCTTTGAACAGATGGTAAGAATTACCTGCAGCTGCAGAGCAGCGGAAGGAGGGAAGGCCAGCGAGCCCGGCTCATCAGCCCCACCATCTATCTGCCCCGGAGTGCTGTCTGCATGGTCTTCCAGTACCAGGCGTGGGGCAGCAACGGGGTGATGCTGCGGGTCTGGCGGGAAGCCAGCCAGGAGCACAAGGCACTGTGGGTCATCATGGAGGACCAAGGGGAGGAGTGGAGGGAAGGCCGCATCATCTTGCCGAGCTACGACATGGAGTACAGGGTAAGATGCTCAGGGAAGGTGTACTGGACCAGGCAGGTATCTCCAGCATCTTTATTTCAGTGTTTCAGAGCCAGGGCCCATTCATCATTAGGGAATGTAGCTGTTTTCATTGTGTTTCTGGGGTTACTATAGTAACTAAACGACACTGTTTGTAATTCAGAGAGTGCCTGTCTTCTGCACAGGCTTTGTTCAGCCTGTTGCCTTTTATATTCCTCAAATTTCCCACTTCACAAATATTTTCCCTTTTTTTTTTTTCCATTTTGTTTTGTGCATTTTTGCCCCCCTGAAACTGATGGTCATCAGCTAGTCTGACCAGAGGCAGGTACACAGCTCCAGGGAGCAAACCTAAACCCTGCAGCCAGCAGAGGTGGGAAGCTGGGAGGAGGCACAGCCAGCTCTTAAGGGTAGGCAGCAAACAGCTCTCCTCCACGCTCAGCTGCAAGCACTGGCATGGGAGAAGGAAGTGGGAATGCAGGTTTGTTTGTGAATCTGCTTCTCGGATACCACAGACTAGATCAGAGGGCTGGGTGCAGTGCTGTGCGATCCCAGTCTCACTGGTGGGAGATCAGTGGAAGAGAAGGGATGAGCTGGAGGGAGCCGCGCTGCTCACCGCAGCCGCCTGAACTCCTCTGGCATGACCGTGCCAGTGCCCCACGGAGAGGCTGCTGCTTCCAGGAGTGCCTTCTGCGTGGTTAGCCCTTCTGGGCAGCACGCCATTTGCTTGGGGAGCCAGGGCTGCTGTTGTCACTTGTTAATGAGCATCAGCATGGCATCCAGCACCCTCCACAGCAGAAGGAAACACTCACTAGGAGGCCCAAGGCAGCACTTTGACGACCACCCCAGCGGGGAGCCTTGCTCTGGCTGGCTCCCAGCCCTAACCCGGACCCGGGGAGCTGCTGCTCTCAGGCTACTGACCATCCCCCCCTCCATACTGCTGCCTCCTGTGTGGGTCAATGGCTTGCACTTGGGACCAGCAGCTCTGACACTCTGTCCTGTGCACAGACAGACACCCAGCCCTTCAAGGAGGTGTCCTTGCAGGCAGGCATAGGATCGGGCTTCCCAGCCACTCTGGAGATAAGGGGCATCTAAAATGGAGGGAGGAGGGTTGTGAAATATATAGCTCTAGGAAATTATTTGGACCCTTGAGAGTAGTCAGGGAGATACAAAGCAAAAGCTTTGCACCAGAGCTGCATGACTAGTTTGCAAGTGTGTGTTTGGCTTTTTAATAAAATACCAGTAAACACAATATGCCTGCAGATAAAAATGATGGGCACTGGCTGACTACTTTGTGTGTTAAACGTGAATATACCGGCATTAGCTAAATAACAGCATCATTATGTAAATAATGCAAGTCTCTCCACTCAGCAGTTCTTAGAGCTAATGAGACTATTTATTTTTGTAAATATATTTTGCCTGTGATTAAGTAGGAATAAATTGACCCTTCTCCTCTAACATTTCAATACTTCTTATGTAATGTTGATGGGAACAGCACTTTACAGTTAATATAGCTGTGCATTCTGTGTCCTTCCCTTCCGTTTTCTGATCACAGCCCACTTAATACCATGGGCCAAATCTGCTGCTGCTGTAAGTCAGTGTTAGGCCACTTGCATCGTTTGTGCAAGGGCCAGGGGGTGGCCTGTGATGCCGAACATTGATTCACTGAGTCTTTATTCCATGCAAGAGACATTTAGTTGAACAAATTGCAAGCAGAGTGCTGCCAGGCCAGGTAATGACCTTTCTGCCAAATCCATCCCTGCAGAGCAGCTTTCTCTGGGGAAGGGGTGGCTGCTCAGGAACAGCAGACGCCCTCTGCCTCCCAGCTTAACATTGACATTTCTGTCCTGAATTCTTACAGATTGTGTTTGAGGGACTTATACGCAACGGCCACTCGGGAGGGCTGGCCCTCGATGACATCCAGCTAGGCACCGACATCCCACTGGAGAACTGCATGGGTACGTGCTATGTCCAGCCGTGGGGTCGGGGATGCTGGTGGGGACAGCCGGGGCTGGAAAGCCTTCATTTGCAGGCTGCTAGTAGGCCACTGCTTCTCCCCTGCTTGAGTTACCATGAGTTTCTGGATCTCAGCTGGGACTTTCCTTGCCCATGAAAGAAATGAGGGGGATGGAATCAGTCACTGGGGGACAGCGGCTCTGCACTGGTGTGAGAGGCAGGAAGCACATGTCTCTGCTACGCAAAGCTGAAATAGCAGCTGAGGGTTACCAAGGACTATTCGGTGTGATAAGGACATACATCAAATTTAAAAGGAAAGTGCTGAACAAAAGAAACCAGCTGTCAGTCAGTATTACACGCTTAGAGGGGCCGATGAGTTCAAAAGGAGTCTTCTGTAATAAGAAATAAAATAGCAGAGGGGTTTTACAGCAATGTTAACCGAATAACAAAAGAAATTTTTGTCCTAGAATTCACTGTTCCCCAAACCAGGCCAAAAGCCAGGTGGGTTCATTCAATGTGAAAGACAGAGAGGCTCAAAAAAAAAAAAAAACCAAAAAAAAAACCCCGAGGAAGAAAAAAGTGTGTTTTAGCACTTTGCTTGGGTGTGGGTTGAGAGCCATCCCAATCAAGCATTGGACCAGCAGTATTCAGTTAGTGGGGTCTGTGCTGAGACCTCACAAGAGTGAGGCCCTGTCCTTCTGCATGACCTAGGGGAGGCATGTTTCACTATTGAACACCCACAAAGTGGCAGTGTCCAACACATCCTGCAGTCAGTGGAAAAAGTCAGGCGGAGCAGAGCCTCTCTCCCCTTTGGGCATTGAAAAGTCCCGTTCAGTGGAGCTGCTCTTCTCTCCTCTGCTGAGGGAGGGGAGGATCGCAGTGCCTCCTAACCCAAGCAGGATGGACACTCACGTCAAGGGGGTTGTATCTCAGGGGTGGAGGCATGGGACAAATTGTGCCTGGGAAAGGCTGGTTGTGTTGTCTGCTGCCCTGTGCAGGCAGGCAATGGTGAAGATGGAGCAGACACCAGCATTAATAATAGAACAGAGGACCAGGACTGTCCCAGAGATGCTCTTGAGCACCGTCAATCGCAGTTTCTTTGATGCTTTGAACTCTGCTGGTCTCCCATCTGCCAAAGGAGCTAATACTCCATATCTCAAATTCCCTGTACTTGAGCCTTGACAGTGGTGTTTTAATCCCTTGCCTCTATGGCATTAAAGAGAAGCAAGACTGATGATTAACACTAATGGCATTTCCTATCTAACTTCTTTTGAGCTCAGCAATTCACCTAGCTCCAGTGTTACGGTATCCTGGGCCTCATGAACCCAAAGCTTAATATTTCAAAACAAAAGCATTCATAAAGTACAAAGTTTCAAGCATTGCCAGCCCTAAAAATAACACCAAACTGCTACACAAAATTATTTGTCCCATTCTAGGAAGTTGAACTAGAATCTTAAAACTGATATGGATAGTTTGTTCCAGATCATTTCTAACAAGGGGCTCCCACTGCAAACTTTAACATAACTCATGGGTCATTTCCGATGTCACCAAAATAATAATGAAATGGTAGAGATACAGTGCTGTTCTCTCTCTGTCAGTGCCATGAGAATAGCTGACTCCAGGACAGGCTACTGTTTTTTCAAATGTAATCCTGGGAAGTAATCTGATTCCTTTTTATCGTGAAAGAACACTAATAAGTCACCATAATTTTTTCCTTTGACAAATGTGTCATTCTCACTCTGAACTTGAGTGATGATTTCATAGCATTCAGTAGAGCCAGAGTCTGCTTCTGTGACTCACTGGCATAATGCAGAAGTAATCTAAAAATAATCAGAAGTCTATTACTTCTGCAAGAAAGTCATCAGTAATAAGTACTGATTATTGCTTTTCAGATCCAGTAATTTGTAATAGATTACTTCTTCAAAGTATCTTGAAAGAATTAAAAAATCACTTGCCTTTGTTTCTTGGCACTGTGAGGTGGAGAGGAGCATGGCATCGATGCCCAGAAGTAATGCGGTTCCCGTGTGAATAATGATGCCAGAGTTGAGCCAGAAACCAAACTGCTCTTGGAAATTTCAGGAGGTTTCAGGGGTTCATCACTGGGCCAGGTGGGGTTTTGTCTTTGGATGACTCAGGCCAGCCAGCTGAATGCAAATGACCTCAACCTCAGACATATTTTTCTCTGAAGTCTGTGTCTGAGTCGAAGCTTATGGCATCTGGTCAGTCCTCAGCTGAGACAGGGTTTCTTCCCATCCTGGTGAGGTTGGCTAGCACCCCACGCTGTTCCCAGCAAGCAGCTTCTGTGGGGCACAGCCACATGCCTGCTCCGCTTGGCCACTGCAAATCAATGAAGACATGAACTGTGGCAGCATTGTGTGTAATATTCCCCTCTCCAATACTAGTTTTTGGTTTTTTTCCTTTGCAGAACCCATCACAGCTTTCCCAGGTGAGAACTTCTACTTTCCAGGTAAAACTGCACTTCTCTTGGTGTTTTTTTCCTGCTGGCATGGGCTTATACATCAAAGGAAAGCGATGTGCGTGCTTGTACAAATAGCAAATGTTCTAAGCAGTGAAATGGCAAGCGTGTGCTAACCTCCCCCACCGCAGCAGCAGGAGGTGGCACCCTCTGACTCCTGCTAGGTGACAGGGAGCAGGCAGACAGACAAGACCTGCTGTCTTGGGGCTGAATAGCATTGGGAGACCTGCCGTCAGGAGGTACCTGGCCTCCTGCAGAGCAGCTGAGCCCAAAATGGAAAGGATGAGTGAAGCGTAGTTATCAACTGACTTAAACTAAAAACCAGTAGCCAGTTAAAAGTGAAATGAGGTGGTGATGACTTACAGTAGTGTGGGGTAAGGTTGTTCTCTAGTTTACGGAGGCTCTGGCAGTGGTGATGTTGGAGTTGCTGGCGAAGGAAGGTGGGGCCGCTCTGCTTGGAAGGGAGTTGGGAGGTGGACGTGGGAGAGCAAACTGCCATGAGGAGCTCTGAAGGTTGCAGTCAATAAAAGGAAAACAAGGTGAAATGGTGCATTTAATACCTTAATGCTAGCCTGAAGGATAGAAACCAGCATTTCTCTGCTCAAACCTACAGAGTAAGACAAAAGGTGAGGAACCTGGAAAAACTGCCTCACTCTTTGAGCAGTCAGTGGGGATACTGTTTGCCTTGCTCTGGGGTGAGAAAAGCTATTTGCTTTTGCAGGGAAGATCAGCTTAGTCTGTTTGAGAGTTTTTTCCCTGTTTTGATTTTGGATTTTGTTTTCCTGCTTGCCGGTTCAGGAATGTGTCTGGGGGTTGTGTTGTGATGAAGAGCAAACTTGGGGCTCCCCTTAACTTTGAACATTGTTTTGCCAGTTCAGTCAATGCACCCTTTGCTTTCACTTGGACATAATGTCCGTGCTCTTCCCATCCTCTACCCTGCTGGTGGGCTGTAAGAAATGGCTGGGCTCTACCCTAGAAGCAGCTGCATTTTTGTGAGGGGCAAAGTTGTCTCTGGTGAGTATGTGCATTGGAAGCTGTGGCCATAAAGGAGAAGTAGACACCGAGACTGAAGGCACATGCATGACTGTTCCAGGGGTGAAAGGCAGGCTGTGGAGCATAGCATGTGCAGGGCATAACACTGTATTTTGCAGTATTTTACCCAGAGTGTAACAACTAGGAATTTGGACTTGCTTATTTGTAGGATGCTTATTTATCTGCTACTCAGGCTTGTGGTGTTACTGAAAAGCTGCTGTGATATTCTCACAACCCTTTGTCACTTACACCATCTCTGTGGTCTCCTGGTCCTGATCTGGTACCTGTTTTGAGGACACCATCCTTGTCTTTTGGGGCTCGTAACATGCGTGTCATCTCTGGGTCTTCACATTGAATCTACCCCAAAGTCCTGCTAACTCACGTTGTTTCTTTTCCTCTTCACCCCATGCCCTTCTGTATGCCTCCATTTCCCCATCGTATTCCCCAAGGGACACTGGCTGGGTAGGGACAGCGTTTGCTGTGCCCAGCACAGTGAGGTCCCTGAGCACCACAGGCAGATGCTGTTGCAGGGACACCTCCCCTTCACACAGAAGCTCACCAGCTCGTCCCCGTGGGCTCCTGCCCATTGCTACCTCCCTGGAGGACAGCCTAGCACTGCTCACAACCGGAGAGCAATTGCAGCAAAGGGATGAAAAGGTTTCCCTGGCTGATGGGCATGAATAAATGGGACAGAGTGACCAGGGAAAGTTAATGTGGAGGGAAAATATGAAGAAGTGAAGATTGGAGACCACAAGATAGTAATTAAAATGAGGGAAAGACAGAGGTGTCCAACTGAAGGACAGGGCAAAAGGAGGGGAAGAAGTCCCTGGCTGGAGAGCAGGCGAGGAAAGACTGTGCAGGAAGTATTGACATGTTCTGTAGCCCCCGCTCCTGCAATTACATGATGAGCTGAGAAAGTCAGATGCCATTAAAAATAATAGCAAATCCTTCCTCTCCTGGCTTGGGAGCAAAGCTGAAAATATGCACCTTACAGGCTTCAGGATCACAAGGCAAATAATAAGAGAATTGTGTGGGTGGAATATCTTTCAGCTAGTGGGTCGGGATCTTACAAGACCAGTCAAGTGTGCTTAAACTGTGCTGCATTTGAGAGCTGATGCATCTCACCCTTAAAGAAAAGGTGTAACAAGTGGCTGGAAGCAAAGAGTTAGATAAATGCCAGGCTAAAAATAAGAGACTTATTCTAAAGAGCGTGGAGACAAACCGTGTGGAGAATTTGCCTTTGTGACTAGTGGATTCTCCCACACTGGGTATCCTGAAATCAAGACAGGGATAGTTCCCTGGAGGAATGACAGATAGCAATTAAGGGGTTGAGGCTGACACTGGTTTTGTGGCATTCAGGTTAGATGAGTGTAATACTTGCTTTCATCTATGCCATCTGTGAAAAGCCCAGCTGTGTTGCTTGTCCACAGCAGTTAATGTCAGTGATTTTGGAGAGGAGTACGAGCTGGCACGGCAGTGGCAGAGCAAGGCAGGCAGCCCTCTAGGAGGCTCTCTGGAAAGGATTTTCTCCTTTTTTTCCCCCAGATGACTTTTGCTCTTTCTTCTTTTGGGTTTTGGTCTCTGCTGCGCAGCTCTAAAACTGGTCCCTGTAGAGTCTTCCCTGTTGGGAAGAGGAGGGGGCTATGCCTGGTCCAGTTGGAGGTATGAGCACAGCAGCACAGTCACATGAAATAATCCACCCTGTAAGGATTAAACCAGGTTTCTACTGACCAGTGTCCCAAGCTGTGCATAAACACAGCACCCACAAACTTCACAGCAACAGCAGGAGGCATTTCTTTATTAAGATAAGAGCCTGAGTGAATAAATGAGGAAGGGCATGTGTGTGTGGTGGAAGGCAAAGGGGATTGGAAAAATTATTAAGAAGATGGATTTTTTTTTTCCATCTCCCTGAGCAGAGAACTTTTCCACTGTTATAAGAGAAAACTTACAGAGAGTGGCAGAGCCAGTAAAAACAGAGCAGATAACATCAGCACTGTGTGCTGAGTGAATGAGCATCTATATTTAGTGGCTGACAGTGTAAGGAAGAACAATCATTAATGTTGGGAATTGGCTTCATTAGGCTTAGAGACAACTGAGTGTGATTTCTTAATGACTTCAGTTGCTAAATGAACTCTCCAGGCTTCTTCTGTCTCCCCAGCAGGGCCGTGAGGTGTGGAAACAGGGGCCAAGGAGGGACTCTGCACCACTCCTCATGCTTGCAGCCCCTGCTATGGCACAGGGACATCTGGAGTTGGTCAGAGTCAAGCAGGGGTTGTCCCAAACCCACAGCCACCTCAAGATCCCCCAGGGATCCTTCCCACAAGCAGAATCATCTGGGGCACATTGCGCTGGCCCCCCATCCCCAGGCAGGCAGAGGGGTAAGGGGGTGCAGGCGGGTACCATGGCACATGCTCCTCTATGGCCAAACCCACCCTTTGTACTCCCAGCCCTGCACCAGGCAACGGAACGGCTGTTGGGAGGCCACGGAAACCTTCCTCCCGCTGTTTTTCAGAGGGGAGCTCTGCTCCTCCGCAGGCTGGGGAGCCGCCAGCATCCCCCGCGCCTGCCCCTCTCCCCAGCCTGTTTCCACGAGCGGGGCCTGGTGCGTGTCGGTGGTGTGAGAGGCTGTTCGCCTGTAAATGTCTCTCTGGAGCAAGGTGCTATGTAAGCAGAGGCTGTCACCGAGTGTAAACACGAGTGGCCTCTGCACAGCAAGCAGCCCCGTGGTCTTCCCGGGGGTCAGCCCCGCACCCCAGTGCTGTCAGGCACAGGCGAGGTGTTGCTGATCCATTGGGGATGGCGGTGGGCTGTGTCTGGGGTGGCTCGGACGGCTGGATCCATGGTGGGAGACAGCGTGGGTTATCAGTGAAGCACAGGGCGGTCTTGAACATGCATGCCCTGGCGGGGGGCTGGTGGCAGCCCTCATGGGGCGTCCCACACTGCCACCCCCTGCAGCCGGTCACTGGGCAGCAGCTGCTCAAGGGGGTGCAGGGATATGCTGCTTTCGTTCCCCCGCGCCGGGATGGCCACTGGAGGTAGAGAAGGAGGTCGGAGGGCTGCCTGCTCCTGCCCTTC